TTTTTCTTTTTGCTTAAGTGGTGCTGAGGAATCGAACCCAGGGCCTCATGCATGCAAGGCAAGCACTCTACCACTGAGCCACCTTCCCAGCCTCTGTCCCTAGCTTTATTGCCCAATGCTAGTGCTCTATCACTTGAGCCACAGCTCCACTTGTGGCTTTTTTGGTGGTTAAGTGGAGGTAAGACTCTCACAGACTTCCTTGCCCTGCCTGGCTTTAAAATGCAATCCTCAGATCTCAGCCTCCTGAGTAGCTAGGAATACAGGCCTGAGTCACTGGTGCCCGGCAATGAAGAGTTTATGATGACACTTTTCTCTAGCATTATTCTAAGCACTACATGTGAATGCTAAATATTACAATTATTACAGGTGAAAGAGAAAGGCGCAGCTTTTTGCTTACCACATGCGACAGCACAGCTCAGGACTGCATCCCAAACGTGGCTCAGATCATCTGTGTCTTGCCCATATACTTCAGTGAGCTGAAGGGCCCGTGGCCAATCTCTGGCCACCAGGGCTTCTTTGAATGCCCCAATCAACACATCTAGGGCAATAGGAGAATGCAGGCCCAGGAGCACAGTAGAGAGGCTGGTGCGACCGCAGAAACTAGCTGCCAGACTCCTTCCTTGCTCGGAGGATCCATGGAGAGGCTCCCAGGTAGCTAAGAGGGAGGCCTCAAGCACAGGGAACTGTTCCAAGAGGTGCTCACACTCCTTGGTGATCTGTTCTACAGTCAGAGGCACTTCTCTGCGACCACACAGCTCCTTCCACAAGCTGGTCTTGCTAACCTTTGTCCCCGGGGAAGCTCCTAGGCAAGCAATAGTAGCCAGTAGCTTTGAATGGGACTTTAGGAAGGCCAAGGCAGAGGAGGTGAGAGCTAGGGGTGGTGAGTCTTTTGGGGAGGAATGGAGCTTTTTCTCTGGTGTGAGATTCTCATTTCGCCTAGGGGAGCTTGGTCTAGAGAGGGGGATGTCATCCAGGCAGTTGGAGATATGTTGCTGGGCCAAGATGCCCAGGTGAGTCAGAAGGGATGATGCCTGATGGCTTTGCAGAGAAGGGCAAAGACTAAGGGGCTCACAGCAGCAGTTGACAATGACCTGAGGTACACTTAGGCTGAGTCCTTCTTGGGCCAGAAGGTCCGCCAACCTGAAGGAAGAGAGGCAGAGGGCTAAGTACATGGAAACCATCACCTGATTTTACAATTTACGTTTACACAGCAAACGTTATCATTTGCTATTAATCATTCCCCTCTTAAAAAACAACAATATGGGGGCGGGGGGTTTGCCAGTGGCTCACGCCTGTAATCCTAGCTACTCAGGAGGCTGAGATCTGAGGATCACAGTTCAAAGCCAGCTCGGGCAGGAAGATCTCTGAGACTCTTATCTGCAATTAACCACCAGAAAACTGGAAGTAGCTCTGTAGCTCAAGGGGTAGAGTGCAATCTTTGAGCTGAAGAGCTGAGGGACAGCACCCAGGCCCAAAGTTGAAGCCTCATGACTGACAAAAGAAACCAAAAAACAAAAAATAAACAACAACAAAAGCAACATAAAAGGTAGCATATTAGATACATTGGTCTGTCTTTTGCTTTTCACTGAATAGCCTACCTGACTCTCATGCTTTCTTTAAAGTATTCTCTTATATGGATGAGCCATAACCTAACTATTCTGTTGTTAGTGGAGAACATAGTTTTCTGATTTCTTGCATATACATCACTTTCTACCTGTAGAGGTGCAGAATTAATTGCCCAACATGGATTCCTAAGTCAAAGGACACATAAATTTGTAAATTACATAGACTTTCACAAACTGCTTTTCTACAAGATTTGTACCCCACTGGGGTATGAGAATGCTTATTATCCTACAATCTACACAACCACTGTCACCAAATTTTTGTACTATCTGTATGTGGAAGTTCATGCCATTACACATGTTAACAAGAAAAAAAGAAACAAAGTTCAGTGAATTTTAATATACTGTGGAAAGGTAGATGCACATTCAGGGCAAAATATGAAAGACATATTTCCTTTCTGTGATTACTCCAAGTACAATACCACTGAGGCCTACATTTCTTTGATGAAATATTCAGGGAGGCCCAAGGCTGACTCCCATGGAGGTGGCTCATACCTCTGTGGGGGAACCTGTCTCTCTAGCAGGAGATGTGACAACAGTTGGGAAGAGCTCTGTTGCAGGAGAACGAAGGGATTTCCTATTTTCACCTCCATGTGATCTGCAAGGGCAAAGAATGTGATCTTTAGTCAGGTATGGGTGGCTCAAGCAACTGAGACGTAAGGATCATGATTCAAAGCCAACCTGGACAGGAAAAGTTCATGAGACTCTTATCTCCAATGAAACACCAAAAAGCTGAAAATGGTAAAGCTCCAGTCTTGAGAGAAAAAGCTAAAAGACAGCATCAGTCTGAGTTCAAGCCCCAGTACCACTAACTGCAACAGACCGAAGCCTTGTTTCCCCAAACCATTTAATTATTCTGGGACACAATTAAGATATATTGAGAGCCTTCCTTTTGATTCATGCTAGGTAAAGGGTATTCACAAGCTGACTCACACCACCACAAGATCATTTGTACATGACTACTGCTTTAAAGACTACCCAGCCAGATAAACTTTAGTGGGTAGGTCTAGCCACAGATGGGTGACTCCTGTTCACTTCAACCTGAATGAAGTACATGCATACAGAATGAGTAAGTACCCCTAAACATCTGAAATGTGTAGGACAAGAAGGGTTTTGGATTTTAGGATATTTGCATACATATAATGAAATGTCCTGGGGATAGGACCCAAGTCTAAACACGAGATATATTGGTTTCATTTACATCTTATACAGAGAGCCTGAAGGTAATTTTACATGGATCTGTCAAATGTGGAACCTACCGCTTACGGTGTTATGTTGGTACTCAAGATCTGTAGGATTTTGTAGCATTTAGGACTTTGGATTTTTGTGTGAGGGATGTTCTGTGAATTCAGCTAAGAATCTGGTACTCATATCAAAAGCTTGTTTTTCTACTGGCCCTCAAATTCACAAGATCTGCCAGAGATTTGTTTTTTAGTACTAAGGTTTGAACTCAGGGCCTTGTTGTAGGTAGGCAAACACTCTACCATTTGAGCCATATCCCCAGCCTTATATTTGAGTCCATGAGATTTCATTCACACTCCCATGTGCTCAACAATTATACTCAGCACAAAGATACATTAAAAAAAAAAGAAGACAGAGATGAGTAAGGGCAAAGAACCTTATGCATCTGGGCACCTGTCCTCTTCTTTGCCTAAATACTTGTACAGGCCAGTCATAACTCCGCTTCCTCTTTTTTGTTTCTTACCAGGCTCAGAGCTTAAACTCTGAAGGAGAACTGCAGCCAGGGTGCTGCAGTAGGTGAAGAAGGTGCCCACATAGTCAGTCTGCTCAATGCCTGCTGGGGCTTGTCTGCTCAGATTCTTCTGGAGGAGCTCAATCTGAATGTGAATAGGGTAGGCCTCTGCTTCAGGAGCCTTTTGGGAGGACTGCTCCACCAGGGATGTGAGAGGAGTACTCTTGGGCTCTGAGGGAAGTTAGGCAAGAGAAAGGACACAGGCTTTAGTGTATGTATCCAGCTTTTGGTCAATTTTGGACCTAATACATAAACTGAGCCTTCTGTGAACGACATGGGGTCCTATGGCTTAGCTGCTATACTTAGAAGGTAGATATAAAGCACTACTTGGGAGCATAGCACTGGTGGCTCAGGTCTGTAATCCTAGGTATTCAGAAGGTATTCAGAGGATCGTGGTTCCAAGTCAGCCTGGTCAGAAAAGGCTGTCTCCAAGCAGCAAAAAGCAGGCATGGCTCAAGCGGTAGAGCACCAGCCAAGCATGGAACCAAATGGATACAAAGCCAGTTCAAATCTCAATACTGCTAAAAAAAAAACAAAACCCAAAACCAGTCCCCACCCCCCAAAAAACACCCCTAATTCAGTCACTTGGACAAGTGATTCTCAGCCAGCAAAAACTTCTGAATTTAGCTGGATGCCAGTGGCTTACACCTGTAATTCTGGCTACTCAGGAGATTGAGATCTGAGGATCCCAGTTCAAAGCCAGCTGGGGTAGGAAAGTCCATGAGACTCTTATCTCCAATTAACCACCAGAAAAACTGGAAGTGGTGCTGTGGCTCAAGTGGTAGAGTGCTTATCTTGAGCTGAAGAGCTCAGAGATAACGCCCAGGCCCAGAGTTCAAGCCCCATGACCAACAAAAGAAAACAAAAACAAACAAAAAGCCCCTCTGAATCTGGAGGAATCAGGGTCTATTATCCTGTTTTCACCTATTGTCCCTGGGGGTAAAATCACTTTCTGAAGAGAGAACACTACAATCTTTTGGAAAGATTGCCCACTATTGACAGAGGCCTTGCTGAGTTTGCTCACCAAGAAAGAAAAAAAAAATCTATCTGCTCATGCAATGAGAGTCATCCTTTCAAATGTGAGGTAGAAACAGGGGTACTTTTGAGTTCTGATAATGAATCGTCTACTTCTCAAGTCTGACTTCCCAGGGCTACCTCACTCTTATCTGCTTCACTGTCCCTGAGTAGACAGCCCCATACCTGGCAGTGCTATTGCTTCTCTCAGAGATTGAAGAGTTTGATCCAGCTGCTGGGAGAGGCTGGTGTGGCTGGCAACACAGTCCTCAGTGAGTCTGGGCCAGCACATCTGAAGCAGTTCAATGATGCTGTACCGTGGAGGGCCTCCTGCTTTATCTTCTACAGCCTCTATGGAAAGCAAGAAAGTGAGAATGAGTCAAGTCTGCTACCCATGTATTGTTCCAAGTCCAAGAGAAAGAAAAAGGTCGAGGTGAATCAACTCACCTGATTTCGTTTGTCCAGCTGATGTAAGTGGGTAACTGAGAATCTTACTAATTTGCTGAAGGACAACGGGAAAACCTCGAATGCCATCAGCATGGAGGTGTGGCTGGTCTAGCCATCGACCTGAAAACAGATGAAGGAAGAGAAAAATCAGAAAAGATAAAATACTCTCAGAGACTGAGTTCAGCATTGAATTGTGTAATTTTATCTTTTCCAATACTGACAATAAAATACATGTAGTTCCAATTTGGGTGCAAATCAGAGAACCTAGCCAGGTATATTATATTATATACCAGAGGTTTCAAGAAGCCTCTGCTCCCAAAAGCAGCTCATCCAGAACCTTCAGCCCTCCTATGGGGTTGGCTGGCTTAACTCAAATGGATACTTTTTGTGAATTTGCATGGGCACTACCTACTACCTTTACCCATGAACTTGAGCTAGGATCATATCCATTTTCTTCTTCTTTTTTCCCCAGGGCTGAGGACCGAACCCAGGGCCTTGTGCTCGCCAGGTGGGTGCCCTTCTGCTGAGCTAAACTCCCAGCCCCTCTATCTATTTTCTCTAATTGCCTAATTCTATTTTTGATTCCTCTAAGGATTTTATACACATATTCTGGGACATTATAAACCTCAAAACAGGACCTTCCCTTCAACTGTGCTGCACTGAGTTTTCTTTTATACCTTGTTTACAGCTTCTTGGTGGCCCTAAGTTTTAGGTTAAGTAGGTCCAGCCAGGAAGGGGATGTGTTCTAATGTCCCAAGTGACATTTGTTCCTTTCTTTTTCTAGAGGGTACTGGGAATGGAACCCAGGGCCTCATGGATTCTAAACATATATTCTAGCACCGAGCTACAATTCCAAACTCATTTGTTTTTTGTTTTTTTGGGGGGTTGCTTATGGGACTTGAAGTCAGGGGCTACATGTTGTCCCTGAGCTTTTTTGCTCAAGGCTAGCATTCAACCACTCTTGGTTTTGAAGTGGTTAATTGGAGATAAGTCTCATGGACTTTCCTGCCTGGGCTGGCTTTAAACTGTGATTCTCAGATCTCAGCCTCCTCAGTAGTTAGGATTACAGCCGTAAGCCACTAGTGCCCAGTTCTCTCTGACCCTTTATTTTTAATATACATTTCCTCCTTGAATTTAATTAAAAACCAGAAAAGAGTTTCCCAAAATGACTACAGACTGCTATATCCACTAAAAATATGAAATATTCAGGGCTGGGGTATAGTTCAGTGGTAGTGCACTTGCTTAGCATATGTAAGGCCATAGGTTCCAACTACAGCATTGCAAAAATAAATAAATAAATAAATTTTCTCCTTGTCCTCCTTCCTCTAATAACCACCTTCCTCTTGCAGGGATAAAGGGACAGGGTTAATGCTGCCCACTCACCCCGGCTCTCAAGGCTGCTGTTCAAACGCCGTTCAGCTGTTTCCAAGAGCTGTTTGCAGGTTTTCCAGAGCTGGCACTGAGAGCAAGCAAGGTCAAATGCAGCCATGGCGGGGGGACTGAGATCCTCCAGAACCTCTCTCAGTGGAGCATTGGGCTCCATGGGAGCAGTGTTTATCCAAAAGTCCTCCTGAAGTGTGGGGATGGGTTCGCCAGAGGTGCTGAGCAGCTTCTCAGTCACATCAGAAATGGAGTAAAATACTATCCCTGGATAATCAGCAGTGGACAAAGAGCAAGGGGTTAAAGTGATTCTGACTACTATTTCTATCATGAAAAGTAGTTGTTTAAAAAACAAACCCTTAATATTGTTCTGCACAGGATCTATGATTATTAGTACCATTTTTTTTTTTTTTTTGGCTGGTCGTGGGGCTTGAACTCTGGGTTTGGGCGCTGTCCCTGCACTCTTCAGCTCAAGGCGAGCACTCTACTGCTTGAGCCACAATGCTACTTCCAGTTTTTCTAGTGGTTTATTGGAGATCATAGTCTTACAGACTTTCCTGCCTGGGCTGGCTTTGAACCTCGATCCTAGATCTCAGCCTCCTGAGTAGCTAGGATTACAGGCGTGAGCCACTGGCGCCCAGCTATTAGTACCATTCTTATAGCCTATTCTTTTTTTTTTCTTGCCAGTTGTGGGACTTGAACTCAGGGCCTGGGTGCAGTCCCTGAGCCTCTCTGAGCCACCAGATCCCAGCTTTACAACCCATTCTCATAATACCAAAGGCATGAAAAGAGAAATTTGGAATGGCTGAGATGAGGGAGGGCTTCTTCAAAACAGGTTCTAAAACCAGGCTAGGAAAGAAGAATATTTATGTGTGTTAATTAGAAATGATCCCCACAATTAGTTGCTAAAAAGGTAAGGTGGCCAGGTGCTGATAGCTCACACCTATAATCATAGCTACTCAGAAGGTTGAGATTTGAGGATCACAGTTTGGAGTCAGCCCAGGCATGAAAGTCCATGAGACTCTTATCTCCAATAAACTACTCAGAAAAAACGAAGTGGTGCTGTGGCTCAAGTGGCTTAAGTGTTAGAGTGCTGCTAGCTTTAAGTACAAAGAAGCTCAGGGACATCTCCTAGGCCCTGAATTCAAGGCCCAGGACTGGAAAAAAAAAAAGTAAGGTAGATACTGTTTTAAGAGTCCATTTATATCAACAATATGAAGATGTGCTTTTATTTTTTTGTGCCAATACTGTGGCTTGAACTCAGGGTATGGCTGCTGTCTCTTATTAGTTTTTTGCTCAAGGCTGGAACTACCACTTGAACCTCCACTTGCAGCTTTTTGCTGATTAAAAGGGCTTGAACTGTGATCCTCAGATCCTTCCTAGTAGCTAGGATAATAGGAGCCACTGGTGCTTGGCATCTACACACACACACACTTAAAATAAGTGTAGGACATTTCTGAAAAAACATGGTGCTAACTTGAATACAGAATAAAGTCTAGTATAAGATATGTAAATATAAGATTCTACTTCTGTTGGGCTGGGAAGGTGGCTCAGTGGTAGAGCGCTTGCCTTGCATGCATGAGGCCCTGGGTTCCATTCCTCAGCACCCCTTAAGCAGAAAAAAAAGCCGGAAGTGGTGCTGTGGCTCAAGTGGTAGAGTGCTAGCCTTGAGCTGAAGAGCTGAGGGACAGCGCCCAGGCCCAGAGTTCAGCCCCCCCCCCCAAAAAAAAAATTCTACTTCTGAGAAATTATGAAAGATGAGCTGTTTGATTGTAAGCTACAATTGGAAATTGAGGCATGTGGATCCCAGGCTATATGTTATTACACGACATGATTATAAAGGAAGGAAATAAAGTCCCAACCATTTCTTGAAGCCTGAGCTAGGGGCTATAAAACGCATGCTGGGAACAGCATTGACACTTTCTAGTTAAAGTCACAGAGGACTCAAATAGAAGTTATATGAACACTTGATCAGAGGCTGGATGCAATCAGAAAATGTCTCTGCATGCATCAGAAATGCATTCTGGTTTTTTGTTGTTGTTGTTGGCGGTGGGGCTTGAACTCTGGGCTTGGCAGCTGTCCTTGAGCTCTTCAGCTCAACACTAGTGTTCTACACTTTGAGCCACAGTGCCACTTCCAGTTTTCTGGTAGTTAACTGGAGATAAAGTGTCTCACGAGCTGGGCGCTGGTGGCTCATGCCTGTAATCCTAGCTACTCAGAAGACTGAGATCTGAGGATCATGGTTCAAAGCCAGCCTGGGCAGGAAAGTTCCTGAGACTCTTATCTCCACTCAGAAAAGCGGAAGTGGTGATGTGGCTCAAGTGGTAGAGCACTAGCCTTCAGCTGAAGAGCTGAGGGACAGCACTCAGGCCCAGAGTTCAAGCTCTAGGACTGACAAAAAAAGAGGCATGAGCCAATGGTGTATGGCTGCTTTTTGTTTTTTTTTTTTAAGGCAGTGTTAATCCTCAGCTCCACCCAGACCTGAGCTCCCCCCTGCCCTGGAGTTCCGGTCCTACAGCTGGCCACTCCCTCTCTCTACCCAGACACCCACACACACATTTTCTCTCATTTCCTGGAGACAGACCCATGACTTGGATGGGGGCAGATGACCTGTGTTCCTTCTCCTGGGGAGATATGGCCCCTCTAATAAGCCTTACAATAATGTTTGTTCTGTGCCTGCCTGCCTCCACATGGTTCCCTGGGATAGTTCTGAAGGATCCTTTCATATAGTGCATGAAACCCGTGATTGGTTCCACGGTGGATTTGCCCTCCCCTCCACTTCAGATAGGGGTCGGACAGCTGCCCAGGACCTAGCCTGAGGTCCTACACTCCTGTCACTAGAGGACCACCAAGGTAACTTTCTCCTGCCTGAGCACTCTACCTCCTGCCCATCCAACACTGACTAATTTGTTCCTACTTCAGGGTAAGTGACCAGAAGATCCTGGCTTCTACCATATTAAGGCCACCTGGGCCTTGGTGGGCTGCTGAGCTCCCGTATAAGACCACCTGGGCCTTGGTGGGCTGCTGAGCTCCCGTATAAGACCACCTGGGCCTTGGTGGGCTACTGAGCCCCCATCAGAAGATGGTTGGCAGCAAGTTCTAGTTCCAAAGGTCACTTGCCATGGGAAGGACACAACTAAATTTTTTTACAGGGGCTGGGAAGGTGGTTCAGTGGTAGAGTACTTGCTTTGCATGCATGAGGCCCTGGGTTCGATTCCTCAGCACCACATAAGCAAAAAAAAAAGAGAAAAAAGCCAGAAGTGGCGCTGTGACTCAAGTGGTAGAGTGCTAACCTTGAGCTGAAGAGCTGAGGGACAGCGCCCAGGCCCAGAGTTCAGGCCCCACAACTGGACCCTTCCCCTCCCCCCCCCCCCAAAAAAAAAAAAATCTCTCCTTTTTTTTTTTTACAATCAACTTTGGCCCCAAATTTGAGTGCTCGTGCAAGTAAAACTTTCTTTCTTCCTCTCCTCTCTGTCCCTTCCCTCTCTCTGTAAATTGCTCTCTTCCTCGCTCTCTTTAAAATCTTTGTGCACAAGAATGTTAAGCATATGTAAGCCCGTTAAGAAACTCTCAAGACTATTGCATTGTTTCAAAGAGAAATTTTAGTTAAGTTACTGTTCTGCTTGCTAAACGGTCTTTAACCAGTACGTGTAGAGATTTTGCAGGTAAACAGCAGGAAGTGTGACAATGTATACATGCTGGGCGATGCCACAGCCTAGCCCAGACCCTGGCTTGCTCCATCACACATGACCACAGCCTGCTGATTTGAGGTGAAAAGCACAAGCCATTTCAGATCCACTAAAGCTCAGACCTTTATATTGTCCTGATTTGTTTGTGTTCCCTTCCACCTGTAGGGTAACAGGCCCCCAGACAGGACACTACCTGGGAACAAGTCCAGGCCAACCTGCTACTACAGGCAACTGGAGACTTCAGTTACACTGCCCTGCCTTGCCCAGTGCAGACCCAGACCCTAAAAACCCCACCTCCTTGATGCCTCCAGGCCAGTAGGAAGTAGCTAAAGGTGCCCAATGACACCTGTTGGCTCTGATGACTATTTGGACCTTCACCAACTGTCAAGCAAATGTTTCTTGTACTTGTCCGAGCACCAAAGAAAAGCCCTCTGAATGCTTTGCCCCTTTACAGCAGGAAGTAGCTTCTGAAGAAATGACCTCCACCCTTACCCCCAGCCAGATATCCCAATTTTTATTAAACAACAAAGCAGAGAATGTTAGTATTATCCCCATCTTTAGTCCTCAGCTCCACCCAGACCTGAGCTCCTCCCTGCCCTACAGCTGGCCACTCCCTCTCTCTGCCTAGACCCAACCACGCAAGCATTTTACCTCACTTCTTCCCTCACTTCCTGGAGACAGACTGGAGACTTGGCTGGGGGCAGAAGCCATGTTGCCATGTTCCCTCTCCTGGGGAGATATGGCCCCTCTAATAGACCTTACAATAATGTTTCTCCTGTGTGTGCCTGCCTGGGAGGGTCCTGAAGGATCCTTTCAGGCAGGGTCCTGCTTTGAGTTCCTGCCCACTGAAATGAATAGTGTCTGATTTTCCCCTCCTGGTCCTGCCCTGGCTGCCTCACCACCTATGGTAGCACCAGGGAAGCCTAACCTGCTGCTGCAGCACTGCCAATGGCCTGCAGAGTTGAACGGCCACTGTTGGTTCTCCGAATGGTGCTGCTACCCCCATCTGAGTTCTGGTTTTCAATCTTGTGCTCTACTTGGGCTAGCTCCTGGATCACTTCTTGGTAGCGTTCCACAAACATCAGTTCCCCTGCGCTGGGTGAAGACTTCAGGTTGAACATGAATACCACCTGTCATGAGAGAGGGAGGAACATTGCTGTTGTGGCCCTAAAATCTAGTTGGGAGGGACAGAAGGGTAGTGAAAGTTAAAAGAGTAGATCAAAACCAAAACTAACTCAAAGTCAGTAAGGAAACCACCAAAGACCCAGTAGAAAATAAGCAAAAAATGCAGACAATTTCAGGAAGATAATCAGGCACTAGTATCACTAGTATAGAAATGAGAATATATTTTCCCTTACCAGCAATCTAGTAATTTAAATAGTAAGACTCTTTTATATTTATTACAATAGCAAAGTGTAAAACTAAATTCTCAGAGGATAGGGTAGATCATCACGTTGTTTCATAAGGTAGGTTGGCAATCTATAAAGCTTTAAAAATTACTTTTTACTCAGTTACTGAGTCAAATGAGAAGTATTATTAAGGAAATGATCCAAAAGATTTAATGCCCAAAGGTGATCATCTTGGCAGATTACAACCATTACAAAGTTGAAAATACTCTAGGGGTTTGGCAAAGAAAATGGTTATTTGCTACCTGGTTAGATGATAGTATGAGGTCATTAAAATTAAAGTGATTCTAAGGTAAATGCTTATAATAGAAAAAAGACAATTTAAAGTTTGAGATTCAAAATAATTTCAGCTAAATAAAAGATATTATCTTGGAAAGATATTAGCTGAAATCTTAAGCATTGGTTGCTCTATACAATAGGGTTAAAAGTGAGTTTTTTTTTTTTTCGGTTGTATGATTTTATTTTCTCCCTTCAACCATAATAATATGGTATCCAAATTTTGTCTTAACTGGTGGGTCCGTAAATATAGGCTTATCCATCCCACTCACAGGCAAGGCAAATGCTGCTTCTTGAAAGGGTCCCACCATGGACCCTCTGCTCATCCAGCCCAAGTCGCCCCCTTGCCTGGCTTTATCTTCACTGTACTGGGTGGCTACTTCATTGAATCTCATTCCAGACCCTAACTTTTCCATGGCTTCCATGATTTTGCCATGCTTTTCACACAAAATGTGTCTGACCTTTACTGCATTGCCACCACCTTTGGGGCCCTGAGCTTTCTTATCAGCACTGTTGCTTCCAGAAGCTGCACCCCCTTTCCCCCCTTTTCCACAGCCACTTTTTCCTTTAGGCAGCATCTTCTAAACTCGCTGTGAGTTTATTTTCTAGTAAATACTTTTTTTTTTTCTGGTATAGGGGTTTGAACTCTGGGTCTCCTATTTACTTGGCTTGTATGCTAGTCTGGTGCTCTCACATTTTTTTTTTTTTTTTGTCGGTCGTGGGGCTTGAACTCTGGGCCTGGGCTCTGTCCCTCAGCTCTTAGCTCAAGGCGAGCGCTCTACCACTTGAGCTACAGCGCCACTTCCGGTTTTCTGGTGGTTTATTGGAGATAGGAGTCTCACGGTCTCTCCTGCCCGGGCTGGCTTTGAACCGCGATCCTCAGATCTCAGCCTCCTGAGTAGCTAGGATTATAGGCGTGAGCCACCAGCGCCTGGCTGATGCTCTCACATTTAAGTCATGGCTCAAACCCTTGCAAATACTTTTCATGTTTTCTTGTAATATGAATAACTTGTTCAGTAACCTGGATAAAACATGTTTTTATGAAAAAGAGAAGAGGAGGAGGAGAAGGAACAATGGTTTTCTTTTTTTGTGTATCCTTATTAGAGCTAGACTTCAGAACCTGCCTGCTATTACTAAGCTTTGTTTACTTAGGGCTAGTGCTCTACCACTGAGCTACAAGGACCACCACCACCAAAAATCCCCCCAAAGAAACATATTGAACTGTGGGTCAATGGTGAACTATCAGCCTAGCACGGGAGAGGCCATGTGTTTGATCCACAGCACTGCACAGTCAAAACAACAAAAATAAAGTCTAGGAGGGTCTTATCCTGGAGAGGATCAAATTGATCATAATCATTAAAGTATGAGATCTAAAATGAGGAAATTAAGGACATCCTATTACTTAGATTTCTAGTAAAATTATTCCCTAACAAAACTCACTAAAGATTCTGACCTATACATCTAGTCTGATACATTGGAAGAATGCCATTTTATGCTATTGAGTTTAACCAAGAGCATAAGATTCTTGAATTTCTCACAGGTTGTGGCATATCCTTTTACTATCCCTATGAGGTGAAAAGGCAGTATTACATTTAACTCCAATTTTCAAATAAGGATATAGCGACTCAGTCTCTCCGTTGGCAACTCTATACCAAAGACATTCTAAGTTTACTAGCCTCTTATTCCTTTTTTCCCCACTAGTATAGGGGTTTGAATTCAGGGCCTTTGCCCTGCTCAGCTTACTTGCTTGGATGTTCTATCCCTTAAATTATGTCTCTTGCTTGGCTTTTTGCTGGTAGTTTTGGAGACAATGCCTTGCAGTTTTTGCTTGGGTAGACTTTGAATCATTATCCTTTGGATCTCAGCCTTCTGAGTTTGCAAAGACCATAGGCATGAGCTACCAGTGACTGGCTCTCTGCCTTCTTATGTTTTGAACTAGCACCCTATTACTAAAACATGCAACATGGTTTTAACTATAAACAAAGAGTACAAGAAAAAATATTTCACTGTTTTGCAGTGGTGGGATTATGGTTGCTTAATTCTTTTTTTTTTTTTTTACAGGTTCAAATCTTTAGCTTAATTCTTTCATCTTGTTAAAATGTTATGTTAAGAACACAAATAACAGGCTGGGACGTTGGCTCAGTGGTAGAGTGCTTGCCTCACATGCATGAGGCCCTGGGTTTGATTCTTCAGCACCACATAAGCAGAAAAATCCAGAAGTGTTGCTGTGGCTCAAGTGGTAGGGCTCTAGCCTTGAGCTGAAGAGCTGAGGGACGGCGCCCAGGCTCAGAGTTCAGACCTCATGACCAACAAAAAACAAACAAAAACAAAAACACAAATAATGCAACGTCTCTAAATCAGTGATGCTGAGGACTGAGTCTGGATACATGGAAACTTATTTCTACTTTTCTAGCTCACATGTCTCTTCAAGTGTTCCTGGGTGGTTCTGGTGTCTGGGCTTTATTGAAGCCCAGTGTGCCACAGTCAACTAGGGATTTGACCTAGCATTCTTTCCTATGACAAGGTGGGGCTGAGGATTCCCTTACCTGATGAGCTTCTGCAAAGTTCCCACGAAGGATGCAGGATGCTAGCAGTGACTCAGGTGGGGAGAACATCATGGGGATGAATGAACTTTGAGATTGGGGCTGTGACTGGCCATCCAGCTCATTCCGTCTAGACACACCACTCACGCTTCCCTCTGCAGGGACATAAGAGCGTGAGCAGTCAGGGAAAGCAAGAACTAAGGCAACAGGATGCCACCTTTCATTAAAGTCTTATCTTCTCAAAGTCCTTCTCCAAAGGTCTGAAACAACCTTTCTTCATGTGAAGACACAAACACATGACTCTCATCTTAGAACACAGAACCAATTGCTTCTTGTGCATTTGCCTCTTAGGCATTTTTCTCTGCAGAGGAGTAGGTGAACTGGCAATGTAAACAGCCCTTTCCCTTTTCCCAGCTGAAATCCGTTTGTCTGTGGACCCACTTTCTTGAACATAGGCATTTAAATAGGCTCAGTCCTGGTTTTTACACCATGGAATATGACAGCTCTACTGGGCAAAGCTGCTTAAATCTGACAACTGATTAGGGACCCACATACCTGAGGTACTTGTGCTCAGCTCACTACTTGTACTTTCCAGGGACAGGTTGGAGCCTCTGTCCAGTCCATCTAGAAGAATCAGGAAAAAGAGAAAAATCAATCTACTCCTTACACTGTAAAAAGTGTGGTATCAACTTACAAACCAAGATCTGGATAAATTGAATACTACACCAGCTGTACCTTTTATAGCAAAGGTTAAGTGCAGGTTTATTATGACCACAGAGTTCCCTTTGGTAGTAGTTTATACCAATGGTTCCCAACTTGTGGGTTTTAGAGCTCCTGAAACTCTCAAGTGATTTCTAGGGATCAAAAGCTGCTATCTTCTCACTAAGACTAGCATTACTGTGAAAAACAAAAGCAACCACAATCATGAAGCAGGAAACAAAATAGTACAATAAAAGTTCACTATATTTTTCTGATACAGAAAAAGGTGTCCTCCTACTTGAAAAGGAAACCAAAGTATAAGAGCTGGCCTGGCAAACACCAAACTGTTCAAAGACCTGGAGGAAATACTTCCAAGGCCAGGTTTCAAGAAGTGTTAGAGCTTACCAAGAAGGTTGTCTGTCCATTTGTGTGATCATATGGTGTTCTATCATTCAAGTCCACTTGAATCACTGTTTGTACTTGTAGAAGGAGCAGACAATCACAGGGAAGAGGTGATGGAAGTACATTCTTGGGCTAGATGGCCAAGTGGATGCAAAATCTGCCTTCTGACCCAGATCAATAACCAAGTGGCTTTGGGCTACCTTAGAAAATCAGCCTTGAGGTTTCTCTTATGGCATCTTCTTCTGCACTCAGTACGTTCACTTTCCTTATTGCACTTAATTGGAACCCACTCATTCTTTGATACCCAGTTCCATATTCAACGCCTTCATAAATTTTTTTCCATTACTTTGGAGGCTATGCTGATGCCCCCTTCTAAAAGAATTCTTTGTTTTGTGGTAGTACCTCAGTTCAGTTTGGTTTTTTGTGTATACTGGGTATATTGGTATATTATACATTCTTTGATGAAAAGGCTTAGTTTATGCCTCATTCAAGATACCTAGTAATACTGTTTTGCTTGAGACAATTCTTATTTAAAAATACACTCCTAAATAATGCTACTACATTTAATTCTTCTAGGAACTTATTAGTCACAAGACAAAATAGAAAAAGACTTAATAGTACAGAATGACATGCTTCCCTTTCTACATAAAGAGGTTTTTATAATTAAATAAGAAAGATGAGCCCAATAGAAAAATGGACCTTATGCCCAGTCTGTTAATCCTAGCTTCTCAGAAAGCTGGGATCTGGAGGATTATGGTTTAAAACCAGATGAAGCAGAAAAGTCTGAGAAACTGTCTTCAATCAAAATAACCAGCCAAAGAAGCTAGACCAGAAAGTGATAAAGTGGCAGCTGATTAAACAAACTGAGTAACTGAGAGGCCCTGAGTTCAAACTCCAATATCAGCAAAAGAAAAAAAAAGTCTTCAGATATGATTTGATAGGTCACAGAAAAATGTTATTGGCTAATAAAGGTTAAAAAATTAAAGCCAGGCGCCGGTGGCTCACACCTGTAATGCTAGCTGCTCAGGAGGCTAAGATCTGAGGATCACAGTTCAAAGCCAACCTGGGAAGGAAAGTCTGTGAGACTCTTATCTCCAATTAAACACCAGAAAACTGGAAGTGGAGCTGTGGCTCAAGTGGTAGAGTGCTGGTCTTGAGCTCAAGAGCTGGGAGACAGGGCCCAGGCCCAGAGTTCAAGCCCCTCGACCAACCCCCAGTTCCCCCCAAAAATTTCAAACTTTAAAAATTATACAATGAAATATCATTATTCTGTTAGCAATTTAAAATAATCTGATATTACTCAATGATAGTCAATATGTAAAGAGGCAATCACGTATTTGTTAGAAATATAAATTGGTCTACCTTTTTACACTGAGTTCTAAGGCAATTTGGTAATATCAGTATATACTGCATTTATTTTTGATGGTACCATGGTTTGCACTTAGGGCCTTGTGCTTGCTAGATAGGTGCTCTGCAACCTTAACCATGTCTATAATCCCTTTTTGTTTAAGGTTACTTTTTAGATAGAGCCTTCCCCCACCTCCCCTGGGGCCACCTAGATTGATTCTCTTTCTTTCCCCCTTGCCTAGCTAGAATTACAGGAGCATGTCACTACATCATCTTGTTTAATGAGCAAAGATCTAGAAAACTTTGTCTGGGATGATCCTGAACTGCAATTCTTTCATCTTTGTCTCCTGAATAGTAAGGATGATAGGTATGTGCTACCACTCAGTATCTTTGACCTAGACATTCTGCTAGGAACTTAACTCTAAACTCACAGAAGTATACACAAATATGCATAAGGTTGTTTTTTTTTTTTTTTTTTTGGTCTGGTCGTGAGCCTGAACTCTGGGCCTGGGCGCTGTCCCTCAGCTCTTCAGCTCAAAGCTAGCGCTCTACCACTTGAGCCACAGTGCCACTTCTGGCTTTTTTTTTTTCTGCTTATATGGTGCTGAGGAATCGAACCCAGGGCCTCATACATGCAAGACAAGTGCTCTACCCTTGAGTTACCTTCCCAGCCCCTGTAGCACTATTTTTTTAATAGTGGAAAACTGGACACAACTGAAATGTCTATGAGCAGCTGTGTGTATATAGGCAATGAGATAGTTAAGTAGCCTTTGAAATGTTAGGTGAAAGCAGTTTTTCTTAATATGTAGGATGGACACATCTGTATGTGTAAAAGAATATAGTGAAAAAAAGCAGGTGGTAGTTCTTCACATATATATATACACACACACATACACATATATATGTAATATATATATATCTGTATACATGAAAGGATATGCATATGTATGTATTTTGCATGGAAGATTTCTGGGAGGATATGTGGCACTAATCTTTTTTTTTTTTGGGTCCGGTCGTGGGGCCTGAACTCTGGGCCTGGGCGCTCTCAGCTCTTCAGCTCAAGACTAGCGCTCTACCACTTGAGCCACAGAGCCACTTCCGGCTTTTTCTGCTTATGTGGTGCTGAGGAATTGAACCCAGGGACTCAGGCATGCAAGGCAAGCGCTTTACCACTGAGCTACCTTCCCAGCCCATGTGGCACTAATCTTATAACACTTTCATTTGTTCTGACCATGAGCTCCATCTTGAAGAGGTAGTATTCCACTTGCCTGGTGTATGGAAATGAGGCATGAGGAAAGAGAATGCTTCAGTTTACCTGCCCGGCTTCTTTTTGTCCGCCGACCCCGTCGGAGACTAGAGTGTCGTGCAGCAATGGACCGGTATCTTCGGGATGGCTGCTTCTCTGAAACAGCAAACAAGGAGAGTGATCCCCTTTGATCTGACTCAGTTCCTTTAGGAGAACAGGGAGGAGATAACTATCCTGAGTGCTGAGATGGAGAGCACTATACCAATATTCTGATGCTGGTTGCTGGGGTGGTATCTTGAGTTGTGATGCCTATGTCTCCTACCTTACTTCCTCCCAACTTGTTAGACCCACCAGTTCTATTCCTTTCTCTTACCTGAACCTTGGTTGCTTGTTACCACCTTATATCTCCACTGGGCCTCAGAGAGAATCTTGGAAAATTGGTGCAGGCGGGTCTGCAGTCCTTCTCTACTTCCTAAGCAGCTCTGGCCTTCTAGCAGGGTTGCATTCTCAGGGGAGTTGTGGCTGCTGATCTCTTCCAGCTGCTCCTGAAGAAGCCTGAGGAAGGCCCCCATTGCAAATTCATCAGCCAGGAATCCATTGCTGCCACTAATAAAGTGCTTTAGATCCAAAAAGCAACTCCCATGAGGCTCTGAGAAACGATCTTTGAGCTCTGTCTTTAGGCAGTTTGGCACTGAATGTGCATGACCCCTGTGGGCGCCTGGGGAACTGTCTTCTGACTTCCTGTCAGGCTGTGCTATGTGTTGAGGGCTCTCAGATGGGGACCTCACATCCAAGGGGCCTTTCCCCTCAATGTCCTCATCCTCAGCATAATCCTCAGGCAGGTGAGGCTCTGGGTGAAGATCAGCAGAGGTGATGAGGAGCAATGAGAAGATGTTTTCAAGAAGTTCCAGGCACAAAGGGTCAGGGATCTTGCACAGGTACTGTTGACACTTGGCCAGGTATGTTGAGAAGAGATGAGAAGCACCTAAAGATGCAGGTGGAAGAAAAGAGAGGAAGTGAAAAGACAGAATGCACACATTAGCAACTTGGCTTGCTGGACTTGAGTCTCAGAACTTTAAACTTATTTCTTTTTGTTTTAGCAAGGAGAAATTTACATCTGTGCAGAAGGGTGCTTGATCAGCCAAAAATCTGGCAAGCAAGCAAGAACACAGAACAGCTAGTCTGCTCTGATATTTTTCTCTAATGCAACAGACCCTGACCCTCTGCTCAGACTTATTTATTTTTTTTAAATGGCTTAAGGGAACTGAGGTAACAATCAGAAAAATATGAGATAACCCAGCCAGATCTCTTTATGACTGGCAGGAAGATTTTGCTATTTTAATTAAAAAGTATAGCTCACTGAACACTTGTTATTTTGTTTCTGCTTTTAAAATATAATTCTTGGGGCTGAGAAGGTGGCTCAGTGGTAGAGTGCTTGCCTTGCATGCATGAGGCCCTAGGTTCGATTCCTCAGCACCACATAAGCAGAAATAAAAAAGCTGGAAGTGGTGCTATGGCTTAAGCAGTAGAGTGCTAGCCTTGAGCTGAAGAGCTGAGAAACAGTGCCCAGGCCTACAGTTCAGGTCCCACGACCAGACCCCCGCCCCCCCCAAAAATAAATAAAATATAATTCTTTTTTTTTGTTACAGATACTTCATGTTTTAGTTCCAGTAATGAAGGCGGTGTGCAGACTCTATGGTCCTCACACCTGTTTCTCTTCTTCCTTTCCTTTTTCTTCTCACTCCCCGGCTCTTTCCCACTTCCCTTCTTCTCCATGCCTTTCCTTCCTTCCTGCTTCTCTCCCTCTCCCTCCCTCCTTCCTTCCTTCAAAACAGACTTATTATATAGCTCAGGCTGTACTCAAACTTGTAATTCTCTTATCTCATCTTTCAAGTGATGGGATTAAAGATATACATCATCATGCCCTACTCCTCAGTTCTATTTTATGTATGATCACAAGTTGCCTAGACCTTACAAGAAAACACTCTATAGTAAAAATTGCCCATGCTCAGAAGTGAATGTCTAATCTGAAGTAAGAGAGAGATAACTGAGCAATAATAGGCAATAATTGGCTGGAAATGTGGCTTAGCGGTAGAGTACTTGCCTAGCATGCATGAAGCCCTGGGTTTGATTACTCAGTACCACATATACAGAACAAGCCAGATGTGGCATTATGGCTCAAGTGGTAGAGTGCTTAGCTTTGAGCAAAAGAAGCTCAGGGACAGTGCTCAGGCCCTGAGTTCAAGCCCCAGGACTGGCAAAAAAAAAGCAATGAGAAGTTATTAAGAAAAACAAGGGAGGATAGGCCACTAGGTTGGCATTTCTCACACTACAGATTACAACTCATTGAAATCAACTTAGAGGGTTGCATTGAAAGGATGAAATGAAATCTGATGTAGTGTCTGTCTATAAGCCAAGTACTCATGAGGCTGAAGTAGAAGGACTGAGAGTTTGAGGTTAGCTTGGGTTACGCTAGGTTATGTTGAAACCCAAGCTTACATAAGTAGAGGAAAAAAAAATACAAAACAGAAAAATAACCACAACTTAATCATTAAGTGTTCTTTTAGAAGAATAAAACTTAGTTTCGGTTTATATATCACATATATACATATGCATGCACATACATAGAAAAAGCTGCATGCCTTGGTAAAAACTGCAGTGTGATGTGAAATGTGAAAGCAAGCAAGCAAGAAAGATAGTGTTTGGCAAACACTATACTAAGTGATCAAATTCCATTAAAGTTTAAACTAGTCATTTCCTTCAATCCTAGTGAGAAAAGGTAACCACAGGAAACACTGGGGGGAGCTCACAGCATCTGCCAAGGATTGGGGAGTGCAGCACCTGGGGTGGGGAGAGAGTCCTTGGATGGCTCTGCAGTTGAGGCCAGGTCCTCAGAAGGGCTGTCTTTGCAGTCCCGGCACTGGGAGTGCTGATGTGAGTTTACACAGAGGGCATAGATGGCATACTTCATAGCACAGAAACCCTGGTAGAGTGTCAGGTTCTGGCACTGGCTGAGGTGCTCAGGGACTGAAGCTTCAGCTGAATCTGAGATGTAGAGAGAAATAGGCTTTAGAGTTAAATATTTTTCAGGCACAAGCAGCAATCATGAGCTGAAACAGAAACTATACTTGTAAGTTCTTACCCTTTTTACTTTTTGCGAGTCTGATCTGTGTTCCTTTCCAGACCTTTCTCCTATTCAGCATCACACTAGTCCCCTTCAATTATTTTCCTCCATCAACCCTGCATCTACATGTCTCACCACCTCTACATGGCGTTGTTGTACAGGGCCAGTACTTGAACCTTAGCCCGTTATTTCTCTTCTTTTAGCCTTTTCAAGTTCAGTGTCATGTGTATCTCAGTGGATTACTAGGGATCAGATTTATAATATTTCTCTGGAAAGCTTTTGTACTTGTATGTGGGGGTTGGAAATCTAGATGCTTCAGAAAATCCGCTAAACAAGTTGTCTTTTTGTTCCAGAAACAAACATGGAATGTGGTAACACTGGTTTTACAATCAGTGGTAGAACTTTTGAAATACAAATTAAGGTGGGTATTAGTAGTTCATGCCAGGCTACTGAGGAGACTGATTTGAGGATCACAGTTCAAAGCCAGCCTGAGTAAGGAAGTCCATGGGACTCTTATCTCAAATTAACCAGAAAATCTCTGGAAACTGAGGTGTTGTTTAAGTGGTAAAGCATACACCAAGCTAGCTGAGCAAGTAAGAGGCCTTGAATTTAAACTCATTACCATCAAACTGGGAAACATCTACTGTCAGAGAAAAAGATGATTACTTTTATATTTGAGTATTCTTGGCCCGTGAAGGCAGATTGTGATTATACTATATTGTGACTTTTGACAGCAAAAAGCAAGGTCTTGAATTTTACTCAAAGATCAAAGGCTAAAATGAGTTTTCATTAGTGTTCTAGGCAAGTCTTTCCTCTAAAATTCTTGATCTGTTCACTAGATATGAAGGAGATATGGGAGGAAAAGAAGGTACAAAATGTACTATGACAAAACTTATGGAGCATGAAATCACTCAACAAGAATAGCTATAAACTCTTGACACTGGTTATGGTGTAGATTCAGAAGGAAGTTTCTAGTTCTGTTTCACAGTGATTAGGATATGCTAGTGGTTCCTAAGATGATTCCACAGGATAAAGGATGTGAGATCAAGTCCAGGGGATATTTCTTCTACCTCCCCAAGGAAGGTGAGGAATGCTTCCATGTTCCATAATCTGACTGGGATAAACAAGGATAGCTCAGAGGGCACATGCTAGACCCCTCGCTCTTTTTTTTTTGTCAGTTGTGGGGCTTAAACTCTGAGCTTGGGTGCTGTCCGTATGCTCTTCAGCTCAAGGCAAGCACTCTACTGCTTGAGCCACAGTGCCACTTCCAGTTTTCTAGTGGTTTATTGGAGATAAGAGTCTCATGGACTTTCCTGCCCAGGCTGGCTTTGAACGTGATCCTCAGATCTCAGCTTCCTGAGTAGCTAGGATTACAGGAGAGAGCCACCAGCACCCAGCTTAGACCCCTCTCTTGACAGATGAAATAACATCTAGATAAATCTGATGCGGGAGGAAATGTACAAGAGCCCCGTTAGAGGGAATCCTGTCTCAAGTGTTCTATTGCCAACTCACCATGCTCTTGCGGGAGGTCTTTGGCTGGTACTTTCTGTAAGAGCTTGAGAACCTCTTCCTCCCTGAGGCCTGGAAGGTTCGTAAGGTGATGGAGAGAATAGAGTACTGAGTGGCTGTCTCCACCATGTAAATGATACAGGAGATCTCTCTTTGGTATAGGGTGACTGAAAGAGAAAATTGGGAGGAGGCAGTTCACATTACTGTTTTTAAGAAAGATATTACTGTTCTGTTCCCTCTTGTTCTTCCTCTCTGGCCCAGCCACACAGGTTTTACTTCCTTAAACATGATTTTTTAGTAGGTCTAGAATACAATGTACCATTTCTTTTCCCTCGGGGAAGTACATCCATTGAATCAGCTCTACTTTTTCTAGAAAGGACTGCCTTTCTGGCCAGTGGGGTCTAGAAAGGGCCTGCAGGTAAATTTTGAAAAATATCTATCTTGTCTCAGTCTTTGCACTGACACAAGCATCTTTGGCTTGACTTTGGGCAAAGTCCCTTTGCCACTTCTTCTTCTGCCAATCCTGCTTCAGGAAGTTCTGGGGAGGTAGGTGAAGAACAAGAGAGGAATTCAAATCTAGATAGACTAAGTTATTAGGACAAAGCAGGGCTTCCAAAATAGTTCAATGAGCATTTATTAATTAAAAATGTGACTCATCCAAGGTACAATGTGACTAAGAATATGGATAGTATTAACTTGTTTTGTATTTTTGCTTAAGTTATTTTAATGGCTTTGGCCATCAGTGTCCTACCTTTAAGAAAATAGTTGTCTACCTCATAAGATTATTTTGAGGCTTTATCATTTATGTAAAGGGCTTACAGATAGAGTAAGTGCTTAGGAATGGGGAGCTATTTTTTAAAAATAATTATTTTTATGTTGAAATTATCTTCTAGTTATAACTTAATGGTCACAGAGAAGGTAATGATTATTTATGTGTTCTTTTTCCTGGTTTAATACCTGGAACAATTATTCATGTCTGGTTAATAATATCAACTGAGAACACTGATGTGCTCTGTGTGTGGCCACACAGATAGAGCCCGGGGCTCAGTGTGCCCAATGGTGGGCAGGGAGCTGACCACATAGGAGTTATACCTGCTCTGCTGGACACACCACTCCAAGACCTCTAGGTGAGCCCATAGTCCATCACAGGCATCCCTGAGGAACTCATCACAGCCTTGGTCCTGTGTTGGTACAACAGAAGAAAGAGATGACTCAGGCCTCTAGCATCAAGTGTTGTAACTAACTTTGGTACCGTACATTCTACTTAGGCTTGAGACCTCATGGTATTCATTTGTGGAGAAGCTGGGTGCAGGGTGCCAGTTACCTGGGTCCTGTGGAGTGTCTGGAGCAGCCTCTTAGCTGACTCAAGGCTCTGACAGTGTGTCCAGCCGAGGAGCACGAGCAGGTGACTGAGAGGCCTGAATTCTCTATCAAGCAGGTAGCCTAGGTTTGAGAAATCTTCCTCTTTCAACAGAGTTAGTGCTGTTACCTGCAAACCAAAGAAGGCTGCTGTAAGCAGCTTTGTAGACTAGAAACAATGAATTCCAGCTGGCTGCTCAGTTGGGAAAGAATTTTTTTTGTGATTGTGTGTGTCCATTGTAAGGCTTGAACTCTGGGACTGGGTGCTGTCCCTCAGCTCTTCAGCTCAAGGCTAGCACTTTACCACTTAAGCCACAGTACCACTTCTGGCTTTTTCTGTGTATGTGGTACTGAGGAATTGAACTTGGGGATTCAAGCATGCTAGCCAAGCACTGGGCCACATTTCCAGCCCTGGGAAAGAAACTTCTTAGGACAGCAGGGGCAGTTCTGATATGACAGAGTGGACTGTTAAGTAAATTAAATGTTCACAAAAGCATGAGACACTTAAGCCTCTTGAAGTCAGGGACTGACTTATGTTGTGATCCTAGTTCCTAGCTCAACAATTGGTACTCAGGATAAGATTCATAAATATCTGTTGAAATGAAGTTTACTTGTAACCTAGAAGGAAAAACAGTAATCAAATACCTGTCAGTGCTTATGGAAGTAATCCTATCTATTCAAGAGGCTGAGATCTGAGGATTGAGGTTTGAAGCCATCGCAGGCAGACAATTCTGAAATTCTTATCTCTAATTAAACACTAAAAAGCTGAAAGTGGAGATGTGGCTTAAGTAGTAGTAGAGTGCCAGCCTTGAATGAGAAAGCTAAGTGATAGCTTGAGGCCCTTAGTTCAATTCCCAATATCAGACCAAAAACCCCCCAAAAAACAACAAAAAATTATAATCCTTCCATGATTCTTTCTCACATGCTCCAGGAAAGATGACACATCTCCAATGTCCTATTTCCTATAGAGTAACTACAATTATAATTAAAAAGGGAACTGGTTCCCAGACCTTCCTGTATTTACCCTGGGACTATGGGAAGGACAGAACCAAATGACATTACTAATACACAGCTGTTGGATGGATGAGTGGGAGAGAATTGAAGTATGGAAAAAACCCAAGGAGATTTCTGGGTCCTTCTATGATGAAGAATAATTATGTTTGACTTACCAAGATCTGCTCAAGGAAGTGCTTGTTGTTGCTTAGGCAGTAGAAAAAGGTCACTTTCCAAGCTTGGGCTGGGTCAGGAGTGGAGAAGAGGGCCAGCATTACCCGGTCAGGATCTGGATGATCTGGTGAGACTGAATAACAAACTAGACAGGGTTATTGGGAAACCAAGAGCTCTTCTTTCCTATATCAGAGTCCATTTGAAAAACTAACTGATGTACGAGTTAGCACTATTTTTGTGTGTATGTACTAGTCCTGGGGCTTGAACTCAGGGCCTATGCACTGTCACTGAGCTTTTTTGCTCAAGGCTAATGCTCTACCACTTGAGCTATAACACCAGTTCTTGCTTTTGTTGATTAATTGGAGATAAGAGTCTCACAGACAGATTTTTCCTGCCAGAGCTGGCAATCCTTATATCTCAGCCTCCTGAGTAGCTATTATAAGCTACTAGTGCCTGGCTACAGCTTATCTTAAAGACATTTTTCTTCTCTCAGAAGCTTCTGGAGAGTTCTTTCCTGCGAAGTCTATTATGGTATTTTTTTACTCTGCCCCTAGAAAAGTGGCACTTATAGAAAAGAACATCTTAAGGCCAGGTGCTAGTGGCTCATGCCTATAATTCTAGCAACTAAGAAGGCTGAGATCTGAGATTGTATTTTGAAGCCAGCCAGGACAGGAATGTCCAAGAGAATCGTATCTCCAATTAATCACCAAAAGTAGAAGTAGAGATGTAGCTCAATTGGTATAGTGTGCCAACCTCGAGGAAAAAAAGGCTAAGGGATGGTGCCCAGGCCCTAAGTTCAAGCCTTAGAACTGGCGAAAGAAAGAAAGAAGGAAAAGAAGAAAGGAAGGAAGGAAGGAAGTAAGGAAGGAAGGAAGGAAGGAGAAGAAAGGAAAAGCACATCTCATAATTTTCATTCAACCTCTCCTGTTAGAAGTCTTAAACAACAGGCAAGGCACCAGTCAGAAAAGCTGGTATACTGAAATTACCAAAACACACGAATCAGCAAAGGGAACATACCTTTTCCTGAAGTTGTGGCTCTTGGTAGCTTTTCTGTAACTTTCTCTGCATACGTGTGGCTGTAGAGGGATAACAGGCTACGTCCAGCTTTGTGTGTAAGGCAGCTGAGCAGCCGCTCCTCCTGTAGGGGACTCCGCTCAGTCCTGCAGGCCTCCAGGAGTTCTTCACACAGGACCCACAACTCAACCCCAGATGGCTCTGCAGGACAACGCAGAGTCCGCAGGGCTCCATAGATGGCATCAACTACTCTAGAGGGCTCAGAGGCAGGGTCCTGCAGCGTTCGCAGTGCCTTTCGAATGAGGTCCACAAGTGCCTTCTGCAGAGGCCAGTGATAGGGGCTGGTGCCATCATCCTCCCCAAACAGGAGCTCCAACAGGGCCTGAGCTAGCAAGGGTGCCTGCTTCAGAAGATCCCAGAGTAGAAACGCAGCTTCGGAGCTGAGCCATGGGGTCCAATTCTCCTGCCTCTGACTTCTGCAAGGCACAGGGTCTACCGGGTCTTGTGCTAAAGTCTCATACAGCTCCTAAGTTGAGAATGAAGAAAGGGATGAGGGGTAGCCATGTCCAGAATGCTATTACTTATATTAGCTGAGAGTTTAGTAGCATTAGCAAACATTTCTGTATGAGTTACTATATTCTAGTTACCATGTTCTTCTATAGAAGAATCAAATAAACTGAAGGGGAACATATTACTATTATCTCCTTTTAACAAATGGGAAAATTGAGACTAACAAAATTTTGGGGACTGTTCAAGGCTTCCATGCTCAAGCTGGTCCCTCTCCACTGCCCCCAAAATGTGTATAGAGGCCTGAATTGGAAACCATAAATTCATATAGGAGACTGGTTAGGTATTTATTATGCAGTAAAGACATTTTTTTTTCTTTTGGGTCCAGTCGTGGAGCCTGAACTCTGAGGGCGCTGTCCCTCAGCTCTTCAGCTCAAGGCTAGCACTCTACCACTTGAGCCACAGCGCCACTTCCAGCTTTTTTCTTTTTGCTTATGTGGTGCTGAGGAATCGAACCCAGGGCCTCATGCATGCAAGGCAAGCGCTCTACCACTGAGCCACCTTCCCAGCCCCATGGGCAGTAAAGACATTCTTTTTTTTTTTTTTTGAATCTTTTTTTTTTTATTGTAAAGATACTATACAGAGGGTTACAGTTACATGAGTGAGGTAATGAGTACACTTGTAAAGACATTCTTAAGGAATCATTTATTTCTTATCTTTTGATAAAATCTTTCTGTTTGAATGTATCCTTCAAAGGTTTACCCTTGGCAAGGTAGTGCATGCTGGTGATCCTAGAACTTGGGAAGCTAAGGCAGGAGGATCTATCTAGTCTTTGAAGCCATTCAGAGATGCCTCCTTATTAACTGCAAGAATGTGAGAGAACTCACAAGTGCAAGTTTCCACCTTAAATTCTACTATAAATATGTCACTGGCCTGGGAAGTATGGTGCAATGGCTGAGAAATTTCCTAGCATGTCCAAGACCTAGGGGTGATTCCTTGTACCACAAAAACAAACAAACAATGAAAAAAAAAAAGAAAAGAAATTGGGGCCTCAGAGCATACCTCAGGCATTTGAAGTAGTAACTGATATATGTTATATAAATGCAGATAATACTTAGTTGGAATCTGCCCCAGCAAGTTGTTGTAAGGATTAACTATAGTTTAGTGTATCTGTAATAAGAAAAGGTAGTCATCAAGTTCCAGTTTCTCTCTCCCTTCATATTCTCTACCATCTACTGAACAAAAATTCAATCATTTCAGTTTAAATTCAAGTTATATATAATAATTTTGGACAATCCACCTCATGGTGGTGTACCCCAGTCCCCTCACCCTTTTTTTTTTGGCCAGTTATGAGGCTTAAACTCAGGGCCTGGGTACTGTCCTCGAGTGTCTTTTGTGCAAGGGTAGCACTCTACCACTTGAGACACAGTGCTACTTCCCTCCTACTTTTTCTGCTTATGTGGTACTAAGGCACTGACCTGGGGCTTCATGCATGCTAGGCAAGCACTCTATCACTGAGCCATATTCCCAGCCCTGTATTACCCCATTTTTAAACTCTCCATTTTGCCTCCCTGAAAACACATCTTGGAGAATAGTCTGTTAGTGTCAGAAAGCTTAACTGGTTGAGTACACAGAGAGCTCCAGGGCTTACTCTCACCTTAAGGTGGTTCTCTGGAATGTCACCTTGGAGGTCTTCAGACAAAAAAAGAAACTCAAGCTTTCTCCGGAAAAGAGCAGGGAATAACTTCTAGAAGAATGGATAAGAAGGTAGCATAGACATTAGGCATATGCTTTCACTAACAAACCATAAGTAAATATTTCTCTTTGGTTAGTCTTATTTTGATTAGTTCTCTAAGGCAAAGTACTTCAACCATTAAATTCCTAGGTTTGTTTTCAGATACTTTTCTTTATAACAAAAATGGCTAAACTTGTATTAATCCTAATAACTAAAATATAAAACTCATACTTAATCAGCCTCAAATTCTACTGCTATTTTATGTGAACTTCCTTTCCTCCCTCCGTCCCCATTCTCTTAGCTGCTTGCCTGCCTTTCTTTCCTTGGTGTGTCCAAAATACTGATTGTTGGTAAGCCTGAGATTCTGGCTCACACAGTCCTCTTTTGGTCCAACTCTCTGTTTTGGGTATTCACCATCCATTGTATATCAATTGGAGAAGGAAGGCAAGGGGGCCAGGATCTACTGTCCATTAAACATTTATATGCCAGGTAATGTGTACCATATTTTAAACTTTCACTTGAATTTTAAACCAAATCCACAGCACATAGTTATGTGTTTGAAAAAAAAAAAACCTTTACTAGAGGTGAAATGGTTGGGAAATTTCTCAGATTATTACAAACAGGAAAAAGAAAAAGTGATTCTTAGTGCATGAGTTTGTGTATTTTACAGTGCTGTGGACCTCTGGCATGCTAGGCAACTAAGCACACTCTCATTTTTGTGTGTGTGTGTGTGTTTTCCGGTCGTTGTGGGGCCTGAACTCTGGGCCTGGGCACTGTCCCTGAGCTGTTCAGCTCAAGGCTAGCGCTCTCCCACTTGAGCCACAGTGGCACAGGGCCACTTCTGACTTTTTCTGCTTATGTGGTGCTGAGGAATCGAACCCAGAGCCTCATGCATGCAAGGCAAGCACTCTACCACTGAGCTACCCTCCCAGTCCTGTTTTTGTGTTTTTGAGATAGGTCTTGCTATGTTGACCAGCCTGGTCTCAAACTCCTGCTTCAGACTCCCAAACGGCTGGGAGTACAGATGTCTTTGCCATTGCACCCAATGTCTATTAATGTGATATGCTATTGGTAAGGGATAATGTGTAAGCAGAGAGAAAGGCTGTATTCTTTCTATACGCAAATATCTCAAAATAATTTCCCTTAGCCAGGTGCCAGTTGCTCATCCTTATAATAGCTACCCAAGAGGCTGAGATCTGAGGATCATGGTTTGAACCAGTTTGAGCAGGAAAGTTCATAAGACTCTTATCATTAATCTTTCCAAAGAATAGTTTTATTGGAAGGCAAGAAACAGTTGTAGGAGTGTGAGAGAGTGTGTGTGTGTGTGTGTGTGTGTGTGAGAGAGAGAAAGAGAGAGAGAGAGAGAAAGAGATGTTAAACACAAGTTTACACTTCCTCCACTTATTTGTTATTCATCTCATCACAGGTATTATTGGTCCAAAATCATAATACTTCTTGGTGTGTGTGCCAATATTGAGAGTTAATCTCAGGGTCTCACACTTAACTTGTCATTTTTACTCAGCTTGAGCCACAGCTCTATTTCTGGCTTTCTGCTGGTTAATTGGAGATAACAATTTCCGATTTGTTTGCCTGGGTAGGCTACAAACCATGATTTTCAGATCTCAGCCTCTTGAGTAACTAGAAGTAGAGGCATGAGTCACCAGTGCCTGACTTCACTGTATAATCTTGAAGGACCAAAGTGAAGATTTCTGTTTGTGCTCCCTACCAGTTCCCAGTCCTAGATAAAGGAAATGCTGATACTTTTTTTTTTTTTAAAGATACACTTTTATTTATTAACCAGTCCTGTGTGCTATGGATAGGGAGGTTACTCTGTTTCCTTCTATTAAAATAGCTTATAGCTGGGTGCTGGTGGTTCATGCCTATAATTCTAGCTATTCAGGAGGCTGAGGTCTGATGAGTCAGCCCAGGCACACAAACAATAGAGACTTTTTTTTTTTGGTCCAGTCGTGGGGCCTGAACTCTGGGCCTGGGCACTGTCCCTCAGCTCTTCAGCTCAAGGCTAGCACTCTACTACTTGAGCCACAGTGCCACTTCCAGCTTTTTTCTTTTTGCTTATGTGGTGCTGAGGAATCGATCCCAGGACCTCATGCATGCAAGGCAAGCGCTCTACCACTGAGCCACCTTCCCAGCCCTAGAGACTTTTATATCCAATTAATCACCAAAAAGCTAAAGCTTTTTGACTGACTCAAGTGGTAGAACAATAGCCTTGAGCAAAAAAACTAAGCAAGAGCATGAGGTCCTGTGTTCAATCCCCAGTATCAATACAATTTCCTAACAATGAATATCTCTGAAGCTACATCTTCACACACATGTAGAGATAAGCCATTTCAAGATGAAGAAGCAGAAGACAAAAGTAAATGAAGGAAAGGAAAAATAGAACCACTGTTTCACCAAACAACTAAGAGGTCAACTTTGGGCAGAAGGTAGGAGCCTGGAAAAGAACAGGCAGCAAATTTCTAGAACAGGAAGTCACTTCCAGGATTGTGACCAGCCTCATATAGAACAGCACTAAACTTGGTCCTTATGATCAAGTTTTAAAATTCCAAGAACTATAAAAATATTCCCATAGCTGTTTAACTAAATGTTACTATAGCTTTAAAGACCAAATAATCATGATATGGAAAAAACAAGAACAAGTTTTGGTCTCTGCTTAAGGAGGCAGGGAAGTAAAATCTACCACCTGATGTGGTTGAGCAACTGTCTAGAAAATAAACAACCAATCAGGCATAAACCAAGCAAACAGCCTTCACTGAGAGGAAAGTTCATTTGGTTTGGCAAGTTTCACATTTGTAATGGGGAAATATTTAATCAGTGACATGATTTTTCTTTTCTCTTTGAAGATACCATTGATCTCAAGATTTTTTTCTTTTAAATCTGATGCTTAATTATCCTAGGTTTCATTATTTTTCCATTCCATTCCATTTCTATTCCATTCTTTTATTTTTCTTTCCATCATCCTGTTACATCTCTCTGCTAGATAACTGGATAAACCCTGGATAACAAATAGCTTAAGAAACCACTCTTTGGCAGCTATTTGAAGAAGTGTCATGCAAATATGAAACTTAAGACTAAATTCTAATGAATAGCAAGAATGAAAAGAAGAGAAACAAGGCTAATTGACAGACTTATAAAAAATTAATTTCACTGTCTATGGTCATTGCATACCTGTAATTCTAGCACTAGACAGGGTGAAGCAGGAGAATAGGATTTCAAGGCCAGCCTGGGCTATATAGCAAGATCCTGTCACTCATAAACAAACCAATTTCGCTATTTTTAAGTTCACTTAAACTGAACAATGTTGAGGTAGAAAAGAGAATTAAGATTTTGATTTCAAATCTAGTTCTAGTTCTCTTTATCCTTGGTCAATCATTTCCCTTAAGTTAGAGCTATTTAGTTTAATTTTTTGGGGAGGGGGAGTAATGCGGTAGAGGCAGGTTCTCACTACATTGCCTAGGCGAGCCTGGAACCCCTGGATCTAGTGTTCTTTCTGACTCCCAAGCAGCTGGACCTTCAGGTATGTACCACTGTGCTTGAGACATCACTTAGTTTCAGACTCAATATGAAATTGTATCAGAGAAATCCTTTTTTTTTTTTTTTGTTTTGGTTTGTGGTGGGGCTTGAACTCTGGGCTTGGGTGCTGTCCTTGGGCTCTTCAGCTCAAGGCAAGAGCTTTGCCACTTGAGCCACAGTATCACTTCCAGTTTTCTAGTGGTTTATTGGAGATAAGAGTCTCAAGGACTTTCCGGCTTGGACTGGCTTTGAACAGTGATCCTCAGATCTCAGCTCCTGAGTTGCTAGGATTATAGGCATGAGCCACGGCTTCAGAGAAATCCTTTTAATAGACCTCAGTCTCTGATAGGAAAATCTTGTAATCTTGTAAAGGATCTTTCAGGGGAAGATACTTTTTTTGTTGTTGTTGTTGATCATGGGACTTGAACTCTGGGCCTTGATGCTGTCCTTGAGCTCTTCAGCTCAAGGCTAGCTCAAGGCTAGTGCTCTACCTCTAGAGCCACAGAACCCCTTCCTGTTTTCTGAGTGGTTTATTGGAGATAAGGGTCTCATGGTCTTTCCTCCCTGGGCTGGCTTTGAACCGTGATCTTCAGATCTCAGCTTTCTGAGTAGCTAGGATTACAGGTATGAGTCACTGGTGCCCAGCTGAAGATACTCTTTCTTTCAACAGGAAAAGCATTTCCTTATCAGTTTTATTCCACTATTAATTTGTTTTCCATGATTTTTATATTTATGGATTATTTTACTTCATAATTAATGAGGATAAATTTGTAAGATTTCACCATAGTAGACTAGTGAAAATAATTTTTAGATGAAAAGCCAAGTTTCAATTGAGCTCATCTTGTACTACTTGAGTGCTGAACAGATCTGAATGTTATAGATTCATATTTTATTTGTTATCTTGTCACTTTTGCTACGTTTCATGGAATACACTTCACAAAACTCATAGCGGTTAACAAAATGGCATTAGTTGAAAAAGTGTTATATGTCAATATATGTTAGTGATTTAATGAATGAATGTGGGAAAGGCAACAGCAAAAACACTTAAAAATAATCTTACTGTCAATACTGAGAAAGATTACAAACAACTCCACAGTAAAGGACAAAAGTGAAATCCCATTACTATTCTTAAGTCCTTCTCAGTCTTGATTGTAGGCAAATGTTAAATGTGAACGTATTTACCTTTTCATGAGCCAACCATTTTTCCAGTACAAGAAGCCAAATCCAGGCTAACTTTTGAGGGTTGATGTCCTGCCCACATCTGGAAAGAGTGAAAAGGAAGATTTTGTAAAAAGGAGTTTTTACTGCCTTTTTTGTTATTGTCATTGTCCAAGGCATAGATTTCAATGCTCAGTCCATCTTCAACAGGCAAGTCCTAATGAGAAAAATTTAACTACATGACAATTCAATAACACATTAGAACCAGTGTAGAGCTGGCAGGTTTCACCAGAAAATTCTTGGGCTGACTGGAAGTGTGGCTAAAGTGTTAGAGTGAAAAAAGCCAAGTGATAGTGTGAGGTACTAAGGTCAAGACCCTATTACTCAGTCAATTCTTGAGCTAGACAGTGGCTCAAGGAGTAGTACAAGGCCTCAAGTTCAAATCTCAGAACTGCTAATAAAACAAATCCTCTAAAATCCCAATTCCACTCCCATCATTTCTAAAAAAATGAGGTGACACTATGTTCCTCAGGCTAATCGATTTCCAACTGTTGGTTTTAGACTATCCTCCTGGCTCAGCTTCTCGAGAAGCTGGGACTACAGACATGTGTCATCATGCCAGGTTTGGTCTTTGAAAAACAAAAACCACTAAAGCCTTCCATTTACTAAGTTAAGTACTGTACTATTTGAGCTACACCCCCAAGCCCCACTTTTTCTTTTTGTTTGTTGTTTTTTGTTGGTGTGGTACTTGAACCACTGGCCTGGGCACTATTGACCCTCAGCTTAAGCTCAAGGTGAGCACTTTACCACTTGAGCCATAGCCACTTCTACTTTTCTGAGTGGTTTATTGGAGATAAGAGTCTCAGGGACTTTTCCTGCCTGGGCTGGCTTTGAACCTCAATCCTTAGATCTCTTCCTCCCCAGTAGCTAGGATTATAGGTCTGAGCCACCAGTTCTTATTTTTCTGATAGGGTATCTTCCTATTTGCTCAGGACTATTTGCTACCCTATTAGCTGGGATTTCAGGTGTATACCACCATATCCAGCTTATTTTTAAGTGTTAACAGAGAGAAAATCATAATACCTCATGCTACCTAATATACATTTTTGAGCACAGAAAAAATTTTTTTGGGGGGGTTGGTCATGAGCCTTGAACTCTGGGCCTGAGCATTGTCCCTCAGCTCTTCAGCTAAAGGTGAGCACTCTACCACTAGAGCCACAGTGCCACTTCTAGTTTTCTGCTGGTTTATTGGAGATAAGTGTTTCATGGCCTTTTCCTGCCCGGGCTGGCTTTGAACTGTGATCCTCAGATCTCAGCCTCCTGAGTAGCTAGAATTATAGGTGCCTGACTTCAAAGCCTTTTTCTGAAGTCAGTAAATTTAGACAGTAACTTCTCAGAACACATATTTAAGGAAATACAAAGACTTTCTCTACTTGGTAGCTGCTGACAATACTTAAGTATTATAACAAAGTAAGAACAATCCAGGGAAAAGACTAAAATAGTGCATTTGGTCCCCAAACTACTAGTTATTTTAATATGGCCATGAAGAATTCACTAAAAATCTATAATGTAGAAATGTGATTATCAGGATAGTATCAAGAGGTGAGAAATTCTTTGTAGATATGCATAGTTCTGAATCTCTATTACTGTGGGATTACATGAGTCGATATATGGATTCAAAATGCATAGGATTACAAATAAAAATATAGACTTAAAATATGATTAAAATAAGAACTCTAGTATAGTATAGCTAACAAGTAATATGCAAATGTCATTTAAAAATATTTTACTACAGCTATATGAATTGTTATAATTAGGGGAAACTGGGAAAATGGTACATTGAACTCTTACTATTTTTGCAACTTTCTGTGAGTCTAATTATTTCAAAGTAAGAAGCTTTAAGAGGATTCACTTTCAGTCCTTTGTTAAGAGCTACAATCTCATTAGCAAAGAAAATACTTTTCAATATAGTTACACACACCATCTTAATAAACAGGCACACTTCGGTGGCCAAATACTAAAAGTCGTACGGATTATTTATAGAAGTAAATTTTTAGAGAATGTGAAATACATCCTGCGTCTGCTAATTCTTCCTAGGATAATAGAGTGAGCCACAATAACCTGAGATCAAATACTGGAAACCACGTGACTTCTGACCTGTGACCTCCCCCTGGCTGTAGGAGATCCTTTACCTTAGCAGATACGGACATCGCACCAACGCCTGAAGTATGTCTTCCACCTTCTTAGGGATATCCCCTTGTCCCTCACGTAGCTGATGTACACATGCCTGTGCCAGCTCCCATTCTCCCCTCCGCAGGCATTCACAGAAAAATTCAAAAAGCTGCTTCTCAGTAGCACTCTCCTCTTTTCCAAATGGAAAATTCATGTTTCCCAGCCCAGAGTGCAGGGAGATAGAAAGAGATGCGTTACGCCGAATACATGATCAATGGTCTCATTCCTGGAGTACCTCCTAGAAACAATATACGAGATAAAAGGAGATGGCACTCCAGACAAAACCGCAATGCCTGACTGGACTGGGAAAGGAGGGACTTAGATTCTGATTTTTTTTTCCCTTAAAGTTTCATTGGATCCCTCATTATCTCTTTTTTGAGATCTGTCACTCTCTTCCAGGGGTGCAATCCCGTCTCTACGCAGATCCTCTATTTAACAGTAGTACTACCAGTCTCCCGGCCCCGGAGGGTAGACACGTAGGTCCACTTCCGTATTCTCTGCTGAACATTACTCCCAGTCGGGCTCCAAGTCCCCAGGTGGGCGCCTCGGCCAGAGTGAGTAATCCGGCAGAAACCTCCCTCGTCCGAGCCCTTGGGTTAAGGGAGATGAATCTGAATCTGAACCCGAAAGCAGAGGAGGCCGGAGGAGGGCAGGGAGGCAGGGAGAAAGGGCGCAAAGCACGCTCCCTATTCAGGGGGAGGAAAGCGCATCTGCCTTCAACCAGGCGTCTCACACTCACCGGCTCCGGGCTCCCAAAGCATTAGGCGTTCCCGTGCAGCCATGTTTGAGGCGAGTCAGGTGACTGATTCCACAGAGAACCGTGGGAGGTGGGGGCGGTGACGACTGAGCGCGCCGCTCCCATTGGCTCACAGGAGGGGAAGATGCAAATTAAGTGCCCAAAGTGTTTGAGTCACGTGACTCTGTCTCCCTCTTCCGCGCTCTCCCCCCGCCCTCCCTCCGGAAGGGTAAGCAGCTCTGAACGCGGGCTGGCTACCTGGTGTGGGCCACGTGACAGGCCCTCCCCTTATACTATCAGTTGTGCGTCCAGCTGGACTGGTTGTGGGCTTGCCCCTTTTTCTCTCTCTAGCATGTTTAGTCGACATTTCCCCAATGCCAACTAGAGGCAGTGCTTTGACAGGATTCCTTTCTTCTACTTGGGCTCTTTTATAGTCACAGAACTCTACACTTTGAATTCTCATCGTCTTCCGTGTTTTTTTCTTCATTTCTATTGCTTTATTTTGTTCTACCCCTGAATAAGGTGCTGCAGGTCATTTCAAGAATGCAGACCAATACTTAAGATACAGTGGGGGCAACAGCATAAAGATAGCTAAATCGTAAAGAATCCAGAATGAGCAAATTTACATGTAATCTGAGCTACTCTGGAGGCTGAGATTTGAGGATTGCGGTTTGAAGACAGCCAACTCTCCGGGAGACTCTTATCTCCAATTAACCACTAAAATGCCGAAGGTGGATTTGAGTCTAGAGTGGCCGAGAACCAGCATTGAGCAAAAAAGCTCAGGGTCAGCGCCCAGGCGGAGTTCAAATTCCAGGACTGGCGTGCGCGCGCACACACACGCGCGCACACACACACGTACACACGAGCAAAGGCCTTTTTCGAAAAACCTAGGATTCTGAAATTACTGTCTCTCAACAGTTTATTATGCTTCATCTCCAAACGGCGCTTTAATGTCAAAGTTTCGACTCAGATTTTCCCGTTTGTGAGTTTCAATGTGAGCAATTTCTACAAGCCTTTTTTAATTGTTTTCGCTTCCATGGGTGGGGCGGGGACGGGGGCGGGGATTGGGCAGGAGGTGGTGGTGGTAGGGGGTAGTAGTGGTCAAGGGCAAATTAAAACAAACAAAAGCCGTCTTCCAAAATAGATTAATAGATAAATATGTAAAAAATTCTCCGTATTGAGGATTCAACTCAGAGCCTTCCTAGCGCTTTACTAGCATTTGAGCCACGCCCGCCCTCCCGTTATTTTCCTTTTCGTTTCTCAGACGGAGTCTCCCACTGTGGATGGGCCTTAGACCAGTCTTCTACCTCAGCCTGCTACCTCAGTCTCACAGCTCAGCTTGGATAACTATTACTGGCCCTTTAGGCAATTTTTAGATGTTGTGAAGCAAGAAAGAAAACAAAGAAAGTTCCGATCAAAGTTTGCCTTGCTTCACACTCAGCATCCTGACGTTCCTCCATCGGATTCCGAGAATCTTTAAAAGGAGAAAGTAAGTGGTATTCACAGCGCCTTAGGCTGATAGGATTCGAACTACAATTCCCAGTGGGCAGCGGAACCAACCTGACCAGCCTTCTTCTGATTGGATAAATGGTGAAGGTGTCCACCAATCACCGTTCAGGTTGTTGCTTTGTGAAGCTTTCCGCGGGAAACTGAATAGAGTTGCGGGGGAGGGCAGGGGGCGGGAGTTTGAAAGTTGGATGTTGCCCACCCGGCCGTGGAAAGTTGCTTTGGGGGTGCGGTTGTAGGGAAGTGTGTGTGTTCGTTGTTTCCTGTTCCCTCCCTGGGCCTGTGGAGATTGAATAACGGGGTAGCGGAGAGGCTCTATTGGGTGCTGGGCACGCCCCCTTAAGCCGGTAGGGATCTTCAGGGGAGGCCTGCCTTGGGTCCCCTGGCTTCTGGCCTTCTCAGGGGAGGCGGGATGCTTGGAAGTGGCCTTATTGGATAAATCTATCTATCTATCTATCTATCTATCTATCTATCTATCTATCTATCTATCTATCTATCTATCTATCTATCTGACTTATCTGTCTATCTATCTATTTATCTATCTATCTATCTATGTATCTATCTACTTACCTACCTAAACCTACCAGATTTTGGATGAGGTTTTCACTCCCCCCCCACTCCCCCTTGATGCAGTTTGGGATCTAGGCAGGGAGTCTGCCCTTAGGGGTTTGGGGACTGTCTCACTTAAGACAGGGTTGAAGAATCCTAATCTGGAATCATGTTCTTGGATTCGAGTGTGTGCCTCTCATTGGCTTGCTGTTTGCATGTTTCTCAGTAGTCTGTAAAATGAGAGTTAAAACATCCAAAGCGCTTGGAACAGTCTCTAGCATGTACTAACTGTTCAAGACATAGTAGTGGTGGTTATTTCTCAGCTTTCATTGGATAGCGAACATGTTTCAGCAGAGTGAAATCTTGCATATGAGAATGTAACAGCAAGAGTAAATTTCAGTTTGTAGATAACACCTACAATAAATACAATCTCATTTGATTCAGGTTTGTTCTGTCAGAAAATGGCAAGTTTGAATATGATTATGGACTTACAGTGTCGTGGTCAAGTGGATAGTTCTCAGAGTTGGACTGTCTGGGTACAAATTCTGGAGGACGGTAGATTAGCTGATATTTTTAGATTACTTTTCTCATGTCTAAAAAGGAACCAAGCTGGGTGCTGGTGGCTCACACCTGTAATCCTAACTACCTTAGGAGGCTGAGATCTGAGGATCACAGTTCAAAGCCAGCCCAGGCAAGAAAGTTGGTGAGACTCATCTCCAATTAACCAGCAGAAAATGGGAAGTGGTGCTGTGGCTCAAAGTGGTAGAGCACTAGCCTTGAGCTGAAGAGCTCAGGGACAGCACCCAGGCCCAGAGTTCAAGCCCATGACTGACATAAATAAATAAAATAAAAAGGAACCAATAATTTCCTTGTAGTCTTACTGGGAATATTAAATGTAATAATTAGGGTTAGGTTTTGGAACAATATTAAGTTGTACTTGAGAAATTTAGCTATTATTAGCACACTGCAATGGACAGACTTTCTTTTTTTTTTTTTTGGTTGGTCGTGGGGCTTGAACTCTGCGCTTGGGCGCTGTCCCTGTGCTCTTCAGCTCAAGGTGAGTGCTCTACCGCTTGAGCCACAGCGTCACTTCCAATGGACAGATTTTCTAAGGAAAGGTTACGTTGGGAAATATCTCTTGAAAGCTAGTTAATTCAAATAAAATTTATAAATACCCTGATAACCTTAAGATGCTATATAAATGTCCATTAGGATTACAGTTTTCTCTGTGCATGTCTAAACATGTTCTAATATTTAAAGCACTTTAAGATTCTATAGCCTTCCTTAATTTTTATAATCATTATGTTTCATTTTGCATCAATAGACGTTGTAGTAATTTATTATAGGACATCCACCATAATAACTGTTACTTTGTGATGTTTCCTCTAGTTTTTTCCTTTCTTTGCTGGATTTGAAGGCATGAGCAGCAAGAAACTAAGACGAGTGGGTTTATCACAAGAGCTGTGTAACCGTCTGAGCAGACATCGTATTGTGACTTGTCAGGTAAAAGTCATGTAATTTTTTTTTTTAACCTAAGAAATTTTATGTACAAATTAACTGTTAAGAATACCTCAGCTGGGTGCTGGTGGCTCATGCCTGTAATCTTAGCTACTCAAGAGGCTGAGATCTGAGGATCACGGTTCAAAGCCAGCCCTGGCAGAAAAGTCCATGAGACTCTTTATCTCCAATTAACCACCAGAAAACCAGAAGTGGCACTGTGGTGCAAGTGATAGAATGCTCACTTTGAGCTGAAGAGCTCAGGGACAGTGCCCAGGCCCAGTGTTTAAGCCCCATGACTGGAAAAAAAAATACCTCAATACTATCTACTCAGGAGGCTGAGATCTGAAGATCACAGTTCAAGGCCGTCCTGGGCAGGAAATTCTGTGAGACTCATATCTCCAAGGAACTACTCAGAAAAAGCTGGAAGTGGTGCTATGGCTCAATGGTAGAGTGCTAGCCTTGAGCACAAAGAAGCTCAGGGACAGAGCCCAAGCCCAGAGTTTAAGCCCTAGGACTGGCAAAAAAAAAAAGGAATACCCTAATAACTCTGCATCATGGATTATAAAATTTTAAGTTCAGGGGTTGGGAAAGTGGCTTAGTGGTAGAGTGCTTGCCTCACATGCATGAGGCCCTGGGTTCTTCAATTCCTAAGCAGAAAAAGCTGGAAGTGGCGCTGTGGCTCAAGTGGTAGAATGCTAGCCTTGAGCTGAAAGAGCTGAGGGACAGTGCCTAGGCCCAGAGTTCAGGCCCCACGACCGGAAAAAAAAAAAAAAATCACAGCTAGGCACTGGTGGCTCATGTCTGTAATCCTAGCTACTTGGGAGGCTGAGACTGAGGATCATGGTTTGAAGCCAGTCTGAGTGGGAAAGTCTGTGAGACTCTTGTCTCCACAAGAGTATCCAAAAAAAAAAAAAAAAGCTGGAAATGGAACTGTGGCTCAAGTGGTAGAGCCGTAGTCTTGAGGAAAAAGAAGCTCAGGGACAGCAGCCAATCTCTGAGTTCTAGCCCCAGGACTGGAAACAAACAACAACAGCTACAAAACCTTAGGTTCACAAGAAAAAAAATTAATGCCGTTTTCTATAAATTACGTAGGTTGCATTTTTACATGCAATTTCATATATTGAAATCAATACTTTCACCTTTTTAGGGGGAGAATAGTCATGGTATAAGGTAAAGTTCACTTGTGTCATTTACTTGGGGGCTCTAGAAGAAGTTAAATTTTATAGCTACATGAGAAATATAGTCGACTGAAATGAAGAGATAGTATTCAATGAGAATCGTCAGGATGCTTTTCTTATTGATAGAGCCTGAAAACCATAGAGCATATGTTGCATTTTTGAGCACAATAGTGAAACAGATTTCTCTCAGTAGAGTAAACAGTACTAAATTTTTATTTTAAGATTAAATCTTTAGGGGCTGGAAAGGTGGCTCAGTGGTAGAGTGCTTGCCTTGCATGCATGAGGCCCTGGGTTCGATTCCTCAGCACCACATAAGCACAAAGAAAAAAGCCAGAAGTGGCGATGTGGCTCAAGTGCTAGCCATGAGCTGAAGAGCTGAGGGACAGCACCCAGGCCCAGAGTTCAGGCCCCATGACTGGACCCCTCCCCCCCCAAAAAAAAGATTAAATCTTTAATAAGACAGGTTTTCAGAGTATACTATATATTTTTGGTAAAGGTCATCTTTGCTTTCTCTGCTGTACGTTTAATTCTAACCATGTTCATTTTATTTATTTTTTTGTTGTGTGGGGCTTGAACTCTGGGCTTGGGCGCATTTTTTTGGTGGTTTATTGGAGATAGTCTCACGGACTTTCCTGCCCAGGCTGGCTTTGAACCATGATCCTCACATCAGCCTCCTGAGTAGCTAGGATTAGAGGTGTGAGCCACTGGTGCCCTGCCTAATATACAGCAACCCCCCCCCCACCATGTTCATATTTTGAAATGCTCTTGCAAATATGAAATCTAACATTTCATTCCATAATTGGCTCTATTCTCTTTTCTCTAAGTAAACTTTTTTTTTTTTTGGGTCAGATTGTGGGGCCTGAACTCTGGGCCTGGGCCCTGTCCCTCAGCTCTTCAGCTCAAGGCTAGCGCTCTACCACTTGAGCCACAGCGCCACTTCCAGCTTTTTTTTCTTTTTGCTTATGTGGTGCTGAGGAATTGAACCCAGGGCCTCAGGCATGCAAGGCAAGCACTCTACCACTGAGCCACCTTCCCAGCCCCATTCTCTAAGTAAACATTTGACTTAGAAATAAACACATTCTCAGAGCTGGGAAGGTAGCTCAGTGGTAGAGTGCTTGCCTAGCATGCATGAAGCCCTGGGTTTCTTCAGTATCACATAAATAGAAAAAGCCGGAAGTGGTGCTGTGGCTCCAGTGGTAGAGCACTAGCCTTGAGCAAAAAGAAGTTTATAGACAGTGCCCTGGCCCTGAGTTCAAGCCCTAGGACTGGCAAAAAGGAAAAAAAAAAGGAAAAGAAAAAGAAATAAACACATTCTTACTTGACCTTTTCAGCAGTGTAATGTCTTGTAAATTTTGGATTGGATGCTGCTGTTGCTATGTGATGTCACTTGGTATGACCTCTGGCATATGCCAACTGAATTGGATAAGAACACCGTCATACTCTCTGGCACCAGTGGCTCATGCCTGTAATCCTAGCTCTTTAGGAGGCTGTGATCTATGAATTGTGGCTTGAAACCAACCCTGTCAGATCAATGTTTTTATCTTCAGTTTACTGGCAAAGAGCTAGAACTGGAGGTAATGGTCAAGTGGTAGAGTTAGATCTTAATTATAAATATATATGAAAACATATACAGCATAGATGTACAGAGTACCATTCATGAATGAAAAATCATGGGAGGGTATGAGGCCCAGAGTTCAAGTTCTAGAACTCTCTCTCTCACACACACATACATACACACACACACACACACACACACACACACACACATACACGACAGACTTTTTTTTGTTTTATCACATCTTTTAGTTAAGGTGTATTTAGGGTAAAAATACTATAAAGAATGCCTGGTGCTTGGGGTGTAACTCAATGATAGAACACTTGCTTGGTATATGTAAGGCCCTGAGTTCAGTCCCAGGTATAGAGAAAAACAAGAGTTCATAAACCCTGGATCTGTGATACATTGCACTTATATCTACAGTATCAACTGAAAGTTTCCTTTTAATTTCAATTTTTTGTTCCACACATTTAAGAGAGAATGTAAAACACTTTCCTTTTTATGTTTCTTTAGGACTTCCTAGTTCTTTCCCCATTGGAACTTATGAAGATGACTGGTCTAAGCTATCGGGGTGTCCATGAACTTCTGTGTGTGGTCAGCAGGGCCTGTGCCCCACCGATGCAAACGGTATATGCTTGCATATATATTTAAAATTATTTAATTATTAAATGATGATTTTACTTCAAAGATATATTTTTGGTAGAAGCAAAATTAGAGCTGTATTGTTATTATCCCAGCTGCCGGGGAAGCACAGTGGATGAATGTGGTGGTACCAGGGAGGCACAGATAGGAGCATTATAGCCCAGGCTGCTAAAATTCAAAGGGTATGAGGTTGCTTATGTTTTTTGAATAAGTATGGAGGCTAAAAAGAACTAAATCATCTTGTCATTCAGGCTTACGGGATAAAGATACAAAAGTCTGCCAATCTCTCATCAGCATTTCTATCTACCACTCTTGCTGCTTTGGATGAAGCGCTGCATGGTGGTGTGGCATGTGGATCCCTCACAGAGGTAAAGGAGGAACTCTCCGTATCTTCTACTGACTTATAAGCTTCAAAGCCAGAAAGAAGGATTTAGTCTAAAAGAGACAAATTATTTTATGAACACTAATCTGAATTAAATCATAAGTACTTCAGCGGACTGTAGGATGCACCCTCAGTCCCTAGTATGGTTGCTCTGTAAATGGTGTTAAAAAAAAACTCTATTTCTTTGACTCAACTTAGAAAGTAATGAACATTATGCAATAGTATGATAAAATATTTTGAGTGAATTGAAATTAGGAAAGGAAAATTGCAATTTTGTTAACGTTTGGGCAGATAATACCATACTGCTAAAGTGAGCTACTTTTATTTCCTGTTGCTGATAAACGTTGGTTCTGTGAGGCATTGGACTATCATTATTAGTTAATATTGTTGCATAACCAATTACTGCAAAGCAAAGTGACTTAGAAGACAAAAACTGCTTTTTCCCCTCACTTTCTTTGGGAGTGGCTTAGTTTAGCAGTATTGGAAAAGGATGCAGCCCTGCAGGAGTCAGAGGATCTAATTCCTAGAGGGCTCGCTGACATGGCTGGCCGGCTGACATGGCTGGCGGGCTGTTGCTGGTTTTTCTTTAGAGGCCAGGGTTCTTCTGCACTTGGGCTCTCCATGACTTCCTCAGGGTGAATGGTCTCATAGAAGGCAGGATGGAAATGGTGGTAACTTTGATGGTCTCGGCCTGGAAGTCATACACCATTGCTACCACATTCTTTTTCCTAAGAGTAAATCATTAGATTCAGTCTACTCTGAGAGGAAGGAATATTAAACCTCACTCTTTGAAAGAAATGGCAAAAGTTGAAGACATTTGAAAAGCACTATAGTTTTTCTTTTCCTTGAAAGCTGCAAGTATGTTTATGGTGTGATATTTTATACTGTGTTTGCCAGTACACACCTAAGGATTTGCTTGAAGGTACTAGAGGAATAGATACTTTCAATTAATTTCCAAAGAAGAGTAGATTTCTTTACTTACTTTATTTGTTTATTTATTTATGGTGATGGGGATTGAACCTAGGACCTCAAGTATGCTCAGCAAGCACTCTACCAATGAGCCCTTACTTATGTTCTGATATTCATGATTTAACTGAAAAAAATGTTTTTTACCTTGAAGATAGAGATCCGTGTGTGTGTGTGTGTGTGTGTGTGTGTGTGTGTTGCAGGTCCTGGGGCTTGAAATGGAACCACACACAACTTGAGTCTCCTGGACTTTCCTTCCCCGGGCTGTTTTTGTACCAAGACCTCATATCTCAGTCTCCTGAGTATCTAGGATTATAGGCAAGAGCCACTTATGCCTGGATTACATATTTTATTTCTTGTCTTCCTAGAGAGCTTTGAAGTGTGTCTAGTAGTACATGTGAATTAGTCTAGTGGATGGTCAATGAATATTTTAAGGGATCTGCTGTTGTGTTACTTTGCCACCAGATGGTGCCAGAGTCAATATCACAATCTTTTCAAGTTAGACCTGAGAACTCAATTATGGTTTTTAACAATAGTAATCCAGTTATAAATTTACTTATATGACAAAAAATTGAATTTAAGGAAGATTAACTAATAAGTGCTTTATTATTTATTTATTTATTTATTTGTCATGGGGCTTGAGCACTGGGCCTGGGTGTTGTCCCTGAGCTCTTCAGCTTAAGGCTAGCATTCTACCACTTAAGCCACAGCACTACCTCGGGTTTTCTGGTGGTTAATTGGAGGAAAAGAGTCTCGTGAATCTTCTTGCCTGGGCTAGCTTTCAACCACAATCTTCAGGTCTTAGCCTCTTGAGTAGTTAGGATTACTGGCGTGAGTCACTAGCACTGGCAATGCTTTTTATTCTTAAGACTCATAATGATATCCACTACTTTTCAACTTATTTTAAATTCTTTGTGAATTTTTTTATTTATTTTTCTTTTGGTCATGGGGATCTGAACTCTGGGCCTGGACACTGTCCCTCAGCTCTTCAACTCAAGGCTCGCACCCTACCACTTGAGCCACAGTGCCACTTTTGTCCTTTTCTGCTTATGTGGTAGGAGGAATCGAACCCAGGGCCTCATGCATGCAAGGCAAGCTCTCTACCACTGAGCCACCATCCCAACCCCAATTCTTTGTGAATTTTAAGTGGCCGAGTTGGGATATAAATACTCTGCTTGTTAATGTCACGTTTTCTGCTTTCCTGTTCTGAGCTACAAGCACCCTCTTCAATCTTTTTTTTTTTTTTTGGCTTTTCAGATAAGCATAGTATCTAAATTAATTGTTTGTTTGTTTGTTTGTTTTTGCCAGTTCTGGGGCTTGATCTCAGGGCCTGGACACTGTTCATGAGCTTTTTTTGCTCAAGGCTAGCACTCTACCACTGGAGCCATAGCGCCACTTCTGGATTTTTCTGTTTATGTGGTACTGAGGAATTGAACCCAGGGCTTCATGCATGCTAGGCAAGCACTGTACCACTAAGCTACATTCCCAGCCCAATTTATTGTTTCTTAAGAAATAAAGTTTATATATATATATATATATATATATATATATATATATAATATGTATCTGGCATATATCTGTGAATTTTTAGGAGTTCCAATATAAAACCTTGAACAAGCAGGGTATGGTGGAGCAAGCCTATACTTCTAGCTACTTAGGAGACAGAGTGGAGGATTGAATTTTGAGGCAATAAAAGAGAGTTTTGGGGCACAGAATTAGAGAGACCCTCTCTCAGTCAATGGCTGGCCATAGTGGCATGTACCTGTTATCCCAAGTTATGAGGGAAGCACAGTGGCCTGTCATCCCAGAGACTAAGGGAAGCACAATAGGAGGATCTCAGTCTAAGTAGGCCTGGGCATAAACTGAGACCTTATTTTGAAAATAACCAACATAAAAACTGGTGGAGTGGCTCAAATGGTAGAGAACCTGCTTAGCAAGCACTGGGGTCCCAAGTTCAAGTGACATATTATCAAAATAGCACACCAACCACCACCACCACCAATACAAACCAAAAACTAGAATAATACTATAAATCTTGAAAGTAACCATGGGCTTCTCTCTAACCCTCTTTTGGGAAGTGAACTTCATTTGGAATTTTCACTATTCTCTATCATAAAATTTTATTTTGGTTTATTTTTGAACTTTTAAAAATCATATGTCTGATTAAATCATATCTCACAATTCTTCCATAAACTGTTTTTCTCACTGTTATTTCCAAAATTTATCCATGTTATTATAGGTGGCAAGAGTATAATTCAGCTTGACTGCTGATCATAGTTGTAAACCTAATATATTCATACACACACACACACACACACACACACACACACACAGATATATATTTATTTTTGTTGTTATTGTTGTTGGTTGTGGGGCTTGAACTCTGGGCCTGGGCGTTGTCCCTGAGCTCTTCAGCTCAAGGCAAGTGCTCTACCACTTGAGCCACAGCACCACTTCTGGCTTTTTCTGCTTATGTAGTGTTGAGGAATTGAACCTAGGACCTCATGCATGCAAGGCAAGCACTCTACCACTGAGCCATCTTCCCTGCCCTGTATATCTATCTATTTATCTATCTATCTGACTTATCTGTCTGTCTGTCTGTCTATCCATCTATCTGTGGTAAACAAATATCTTAAAGCCTAAGGGCTAAATTAGCAAGGGATATTTATTATCTCACACACATTCTGTGAGCCAGGTATTTGAGAACGGCTTGAATGTGTCTAGTTCTAATCTCTCAGGAGATTATAGTCAAGATATTGACTGAAGACATCTATAAACTTGCCTGGAATTGGGGAAGCTGCTCCAAGATGGCTCACTTTTATGGCTGGGAATTTGGTCCTGGCTGTTTGCAATCCTTTGCCATGTGAACCTCTGTGAACTGATTGTCTTCATGTTGTGAAAGTGTACTTTCCCCCTAGAATGTGATATAGGGGAGCAAAATCAAAACGGCAGTGTCTCTTATGATCCAGCTTTGGAAAGTTATGTATACTTTTACTTAGTACTGAGGCTTGAGCTCAGAGCTTGGCACTCTTCCTTAGCTTTTTCACTCAAGGATAGCACTCTACCACTTGCGCCACAGTTCCACTTCTGTTTTTGTTTTTGGGAGGTAAGAGTCTTATGGACTTTCCTGCCTGGGTTGAACCAGCCTCTTGAGTAGCTAGGATTACGGTGCCACAGTGAGTTGGTCCTAGGACTTGAACTTAGAACCTGGGTACTGTTCCTGAGCTTTTAAAATTTAAATTTTTTTAATTTTATTGTACAGATGATTTACAAAAGGGGTATGGTTACGTGAGTAAGATAATGAGTACATTTTGTCCCTGAGCTTTTTTGCTCAAGACTGGCACTTTACTACTTGAGCCACAGCTCCACTTCTGTTTTTGTTTTTGATAGGTGATTGGTGTTAAGAGTCTCATGGATTTTCCTGCCTGGGCTAGCTTCAAACCACAGTCCTCAGATGTTAGCCTCCTGAGTAGCTAGGATTACAGGCATGAACCACACTGGTGCCTGGGAAGTTTTAATTTGTGTGTGTGTGTGTGTTGATTTACACTCACAATGTTCAGATAAAAGCTCAGCCCAGTTTATCCCTTTACTTCATCCTTGTGAGATCCTTAGTAGAGAACTCTGTGAAGCCCATCTGGACCCTGACCTACAGACATTTGAGGTAATAATTGGTTGTTATTTTAACATGCCAAATTTGTGGTAATTTGTTGCACAGCAATAGAGAAATGAATACAGGTGTCATTGGAGGTACTTAAGTTCATGTGGAAATGATTGAGGGAAGAAGAATGTGTCTGGAAACAATCAGCTGCCATTTTTATAGCTACTCTTTCCTTACTTCACAGTTTTAAAATTTATTTATCGTCACTTTTGATTGGTGTTAACTGTACCAAATCTGGGTATAGAAAGTTCAGCTCTGAGAGATTCTTCCCTTGGAAGCTGAGGGGAGACTCAGAGACACCAACTCTGCTGTATTGCCAAATGGAGTGAGTTAAGGGATTTTGTCCCTTTCTTTGAGAAAAT